TGGCCCCGAGCTTCTTATTTCCTTCAGTTCAGCCTCTCGCTCGGGTCCGACTCTTTTGCAACCCCATGGACCACAGCACGCCAGGCCTCCCTGTCCATCACCAGCGCCCCGGCGCTCGCTCAAACCCATGTCCGTCGAGTCGGTGATGCCATCCAGCCATCTCCTCCTCTGGTCCCCTTCCCCTCCCGCCTTCAGCCTTTCCCAGCATCAGGGCTGGGATGGGGTCGGGAGCGAAAAGACCTTCCTCTGCCGGTTAACCCCTCGCCTGCGTTCGGCCCCCCCGCTGAGCCCCGCCTGTCTCTCCCCGTGAGAGCCTGGCGGTAGATGCTTGGGGAGGGCTGGGAGGGGCCCGGGCGGTGCTGGCGGGGCGCGGCGGCCCCCGCTCAGCCGCCGCCCCGCCCCCAGCGCCCTCCTGAGGACGGTAGATGCTTGGGGAGGGCTGGGAAGGGTCGGTAGATGCTTGGGGAGGGCTGGGAGGGGCCCGGGCGGTGCTGGCGGGGCGCGGCGGCCCCCGCTCAGCCGCCGCCCCGCCCCCAGCGCCCTCCTGAGGACGGTAGATGCTTGGGGAGGGCTGGGAAGGGTCGGTAGATGCTTGGGGAGGGCTGGGAGGGGCCCGGGCGGTGCTGGCGGGGCGCGGCGGCCCCCGCTCAGCCGCCGCCCCGCCCCCAGCGCCCCCCTGAGGACGGTAGATGCTTGGGGAGGGCTGGGAAGGGTCGGTAGATGCTTGGGGAGGGCTGGGAGGGGCCCGGGCGGTGCTGGCGGGGCGCGGCGGCCCCCGCTCAGCCGCCGCCCCGCCCCCAGCGCCCCCCTGAGGACGGTAGATGCTTGGGGAGGGCTGGGAAGGGTCGGTAGATGCTTGGGGACGGCTGGGAGGGGCCCGGGCGGTGCTGGCGGGGCGCGGCGGCCCCCGCTCAGCCGCCGCCCCGCCCCCAGCGCCCTCCTGAGGACCGCCTTCCCGCTGCTGCTGCTCGTCAGCGCCACCTGGCTGCTGGCGCTGCTGGCCGTCAACGGCGACGTGCTCGCCTCCCACTACCTCTTCGCCGTCTTCAGCTGCTTACAGGTGCGCGGCTGGGGAGGGGCGCGGCGGGGCCGGCCCTGGGGCGGTCTGGGCTCACCCGTGCTGCCCCCTGCCCCCGGGCAGGCCCTTGACCTGCCATCCAGGCTGCGTCCTTGCTCTCCGGACACACGGGACCACGCCGCGGCTGTCTGGCGGTGTGTGCGGGGTTACGGCAACGCCTCGCGGTCCTGCCGCCAGAAACGCGGCTCTGTCCGCAGTCCCCCTGGGGATCCCGCTCCACGGCGCCCCGTGTCCGTCAGGACGCAGAGCTCTGCTCAGCTGGAACGGGCCTCGCGCTCTCCCAGCCCGGTGTAGACCCCGCTGTGTCCTGAGAGTGCTGACCATTTACAGCCCACACCGAGGGCTTCCCCAGACCCTGACTGATGATGTGTCATTGGGGGCCCCAATGCCCCGAGGGCTGGGTCCCCCCAGGGGGTGGGTGTCCTCCAGGCACTGGGCGGCAGGCTGCCTGCCCTGACCAGGCCCCTCCTGGAGAAATCGGAAGCACCCAGGGCAGGGAAGCCAGGTGTGGGCCCTGCTGGGCTCCGCGCGGTCCCCGGGCGGGCAGGCACGCGGGGGTGGCTGGAGCCAGGCCCTGGCGTCCCTCCCGAGGCCGAGCCGCGCTGACCCCTCCCGCCGCCCTGCAGGGCCTGGCCGCGCTTCTGCTGCACTGCGTGCTCAACAGGGAGGTCCGGAAACACCTGCGGGGCCTGCTCGCCGGGAGGAAGCCCTACGCCGACGACTCGGCCACCACAAGGGCCACCCTGCTGACGGTAGGGGGTGCCCGGGGGCCCTGGGGCATAGGGGCCGGGCGCGAGGGGCGTCTGGACTGGCATCAGACACAGCCCCTTGGTCTCGCCTCCCCGACCCCGTGGATGTCCCAGGCCCGAACCGGAGCACGGCCGCCCTCCCTGTGGCCTACGGGGAGCGGGTTGACAGGGCGGGGTCTGGCCGGTCATGGCCCCTGGTCCCCTGAGGCCGAGGCCAGCGGGGGTCCCAACCAGGGGTGGAGAGGCCGCTGTGCCCGGCGCCCGGTGGGCGCAGGCAGGGTGCTGTGTGGCGCCCTGCGGGGGGCACCCAGCCGTCCCCCACGGCCCAGTGGCTTCCGCTCGGCCGCTGAGCAGCCCCCTGCCCCGCAGCGCTCCCTCAACTGCAACAACACGTACGGTGAGGAGCCCGACATGCTCCGCACGGCCCTGGGCGAGTCCACCGCCTCTCTGGACAGCACCGTCAGGTCGGGCCGGCCGGGCGCCCTGTGTGCTCGCGGGGAGGGGAGGAGGGCAGCTCCCAGAGCGCACGCCGGCTTTGTCGCCTCAGCCCCGTCGTGTGTCCCGCTGTCTGGGGTCGCGCGTTTCCCTGTGTGCCCGGGGGACCGCCCTGGCACATGCATGAGGCGCTGGGTGAGGGCAAGGCTGGGTGGCCAGTCATGTGCCCCCCCCGGCCGGGCAGGGGCGCTGAGCCCACTCCCTCCCCTCTCCAGGGATGAAGGGGGCCAGAAGCTCAGCGTGTCCTCGGGGCCGGTGCGGGGCGGCCACGGGGAGCCGGACGCGTCCTTTGTCCCAAGGAGTGCCAGGAAGCCCCACGGTATGTGTCCTCTGGGGGGTGGTCTCCCTCCCGGGGGGCCGGCTGCCCCGAGGGCCCCCTCCCCTGGCCTGGGCCCAGTGGCTCTGCTCCGCCGTTGACCGGAAGCCCCCGCCGGCCCCTCCCCAGGCCAGGACTCGGACTCGGATAGCGAGCTCTCGCTGGACGAGCAGAGCAGCTCCTACGCCTCCTCACGCTCCTCCGACAGTGAGGACGACGGGGGCGAGGCCGAGGACAAGTGGGACCCGGCCCAGGGCCCCGTGCACAGCACCCCCAAAGGTGAGCGAGCCCCAGGCCGCACCGCAGACCTCAGCCGTGGCCGCCCGCCCCCCGGGCGGAGCTGAGGCGGCGAGCACAGCCCCCTGCCCGCCGTCCGCCGTGGGACCCTCCTGGCGAGGACTCCGTGACGCCGACCCCGCTGCTCGGGGAACACGAGGCTTCCAGGGCTGGGGGCGCAGGGGCTTGCAGCCGGGGACCCTGCATCGGGACCGGCCCTCCCTGGGTCCTGGTGTCTCCCCGGGCCTGCGGGCGGGGGGCTGGGGGTCAGCGCCCCTCCAGACAGGCTCAGCCGAGCGGGAGCGGGAGGCAGTGGGGCTCATGAGCTGAGGGTCTGTCTTGCGCCTCAGTGGACGCCGTGGGCAACCACGTCCCAGCCGGCTGGCCCGACGAGAGCCTGGCCGGGAGCGACAGCGAGGATCCGGGCGAGCCGCCCCGCCTGAAGGTGGAGACCAAGGTCAGCGTGGAGCTGCACCTGGACGAGCAGGGCAACCACTGCGGCGAGTGCCTCCCCGCCCGGGACAGCGGGGGCCCCAGGCCCACCGCCGCACCGCCCAGCCAGCCCCCCGAGCAGAGAAAAGGTGCCGAGGGCCTGGGCTCCCCGAAACTGGGGGCTGGGGAGTCCCTGCTCCCGGGAGAGGGGGCCCCGGGGACAGGGTGCTCAGGAGGGGCCACCGCCCTGCTGGACGCAGGAGCCCTGAAGGGGGGAGACCTGCGCCCGCGCCCGCAGCCCCGCGTGACTGTCCCTCCCTGAGCCCCCCGCGTCTGGCAGGGCCAGCCTCGCTGTGACCTCCTCCATCTCCCCCAACCCCGGACCCAGGCATCTTGAAAAACAAAGTCACCTACCCACCGCCGTTGACCGAAAAGACGCTGAAGTCGCGGCTGCGGGAGAAGCTGGCTGAGTGCGAGCAGAGCCCCGCGTCCTCACGCTCGTCCTCCGTGGGCTCCAGTGACGGGCTCCGCGCCCCCGACGGTGCCATCACCATCAAGATGCCGCGCCGGGAGCCGGGCCGCGAGCACCTCAATGGCGTGGCCATGAACGTGCGGGCCGGCAGCGCCCAGGCCCACGGCTCCGGCTCCGAGTGAGTAGGCTGGGCCTCGGGAGGGGCGGTGGTGGCCCCCGGCCACCCTCCCCTCGGCTACCCGTCTAGAGGGCAGACGCCGGGTCTGGGGGCCCACAGCCAGGGTCTGAGCACAGGGGCCCGCCCAGGATGAGGCCTGGGGGCCGTGGGGGGCTTCCACCCAGGAGAGGAGCTCCGCGGGGGTCAGGAGGAAACAGCTGGAGGTGGGCCAGACCCCCCTGTCCTGGGGGCCGAGTCAGCCACAGCCCTCAGTCCTGTCCAGCCCTGACATTCTAGGATGCGAGAGCATGTGGGACTGAGCATCGTCTCCTCGGCCCGGGGTCGTTACTGACCCATTTCGTGGTTGAGGAGACTGAGGCTGGGGGTGGGGGGGCGCCCGCTGCAGAGGCGTGGAAGTGGGCTCCAGCTCTGAACTGGCCTGCTCATCTCGCCAGGTGACCCGGGGAGGTGGGAAGACTGGGACCCGGGTCTCCTATTGCAGTCACAGAATGGCCTACCCAAACCTAGAGCCTGAGTCTGGTTGCCAGTGGTGCTCCGTGGGCTTCTGTGGAGGACACTCAGATGGGCCTGGGTCTCCGCGGCCCCTGTGGGCGGGGGTGCAGTTTCGACCTGCCCCCTCCCCTGCCCACCAGGGTCACTGTGCTCACACATGAGCTAGTCCCCCGTGGAGCCTCCGGGCATCCCCAGTCCCCCGAGTGGGGGCTCTGCCCCCGCACGACCTCAGACCCAGCCCCGCTGCTGACTTCACGGGTGGCAGGGCCGTCCTCGCTGACCCTCCGCCTGCCTGCCGGCTTCTTCCCACGCGCAGAGGCAGTAACGAAACTTCAATTTGAACCATCAGGAAACCGTGAGACAAGCCTGCCACCTCCACCAGGCCTCTGAGCCGTGTGGTCGCGCTCCTGGACCTCGGAGTCCCAGGGGCCCCCATACGGTCAGTGAAGCAGGCCCTGAGGGCAGGGATCCCTGCAGGGGCAGCCCCACGACTGGCGTGACTGAAGGTCCAGATGCAAAGCCCTGAGTTGCCTGGAGGCTCCGGCCCCTTAGGCCCCGTGACAAGTGCCAAAGGCCACGGGGTGGCTTGGACTCCCAGACCCGCAAGGCTCGATCCTCAGACTGCAGAGCCCAGACCGGGCCCAGCAGGAGAGCTGCCTAGAGACGAGCCGCCAGGCCGGCTGGCCAGGACTCAGGGACCCGGGCCAGCAGCTAGCTCCACAGCCATCTGCAAAGGCAGCCGTGTCTTAAAGCAAATCCCTTTCCTTTGTTGCAAAGGTGTAGATACTTTTGTATATTTGTATGGAACTTTGAAAAGGCAAAAACCTCTGTATATTTTGCATCTGTACTGAGTCTACACTGGGAGATCCGTGGGGGTGATCTCTCCCTGCTTTTTATATGAGGAAGATCGCATAGCCGGCCTGGAGTCTGGCATGCAACCAGTAGTAGGTATGCCAGGAAAGCAGAGATGGGACGTGTGTAGGGCATGTGCCCGACAGAGGTTCCCACGCCCCTTCCAGCCAGGAGCCCGGAGCCGTGGGTGTCACACGTGGCCACCCCGGATGAATTTGAGCTGGTTGCTCTCGGCTCCCACCTGCCTGGATGTGGTATGGCTCTGAGACGGGACCACCTGGAACAGGGCAGGACTCAGGAGCCTCCTGAGCATGGAGGCAGGTGCACACGGCTGAGACGGGCACGCTGCCCCCCCCCCCCCCAGCCCCGCAGGGCCGCCCTGGCCTCCTTCTCGCAGGTGGGGCGCTCCTCTGTGCCTCCACTCCTGTTCTCCGCGGGATTGCGAGTGCTCACGCATCCCCGACTCAGGCGGAGGGATGGGGTCTTCCAGGATGTCACATTCCCTCCTGCCGGTTTCCCAGCTCTTTGAGGCTCTGAGGGTCTTCAGGCAGGCGGGGTCTCACCCTCAGAGTCTGACCAATTACTTCATTTTGCTTCAGATGGCCAATTGTGTGGAGGGACAAAGCCGCAGCCACACTCTTCAATGGTTACCAGGCTGTTTTGGGGAAATTCACACTGGGGATCGGCTGGGACTGCCCCTCTGCGGGGAGTTGGTGCGGCATGGCCCGAGGGGCTGTGGAACGGGGCCCAGAATTATTCAGACACGTTTCATTTCAGTGTTTCTTTTGTTCTCTAATCGGTGTCCAAATAAATGATCGTCCCAGCTGCTTCCAAATATGAAAGACCGTAAAATATGAGAATCAAGTAAAATGCAAAGATGTCCGTATACTGTATTGTTCTGATGGAAATGCGAGTGTTATTCGTGGCATAGAGGAAAGCTTATCTGATATGGGTCCAAGACCACAGCAAAAATGAAATGAGATCCCAGAGCCCTCACAGCAAAATGAATTATAAATGTGCCTTAGCAGGGGAGTGGCCTTTTCAAGATACAAAGTAATAGTACCTTCAGATGTTTACCATGAGGAAGCATTTTCTAAGCAAAAGAAAAAAAAAGTGGAAATATTTTTGAGTCTTTGAACACTCCATTTTCATATTATCCCATATTCTTCTGCAACTGGATTTTGTCCCTTGAGATGTATTTAGTTTTTAATTTGATCAGAACTGTTACCAAAAAAGAAAAAAAATGTCAGTTTTATTAAGACAGGAAAAATGTAAACCTATTTTTGTGACTTAAAGACTTTATGAGAAATACTAGACACTGGAGGGTTTGTGTTTTTTTTTTTAACAAATGTGTATTTATTAATGTTCAGAACACTGGAATTGCAACACAAATGAGGAAAGAGTCTACAATAAATTAAGATGTTTTTGAATTTGTACTTCTGCTCTGCTTTCACCCCATCCCTACTTCTGCACCCCTCTTCCCTCCCTGTTCTGAGGCAGCCCTGGAGAAGGGACCACGAACAGGATGCTGAGAAGCCTGGGCGGGGCAGGAGCCATTCTAGAACTTTCTGTATGTTCTGCTCATCCAGACTCTTGCACCTCATACTTCAAAATCTTCCAGCCCCAGTCTCTTTCAGCCCTTTGGGGACTCCAGGGAACACAAACAGTTCCTGCGGTTTCATTCATCTGTATTCATTCTCAGGCTAGATCATTTCTAGTGATGAACGTTCTTTTTCTTTTTTGGTGGGGGAGGGACAGAGAGGAGCCTCAAATCATTTTATTTACATAACAAAGGAAATGGTAACCCAAGACTAGAGGATTTGGGAGTACTTGGCCTGCATATTTAAATACACAAATCATATATATATATATATATAACATATGTGGGGGTATCTGTACACACACACTTGTGTGTACACACACACACACAGGGTTATGTGTACACGTGTACACACACATGTGTACACACACACGCGGGGTATGTGTACACACACACATGTGCACACACACACACGGGGTATGTGTACACACACACTTATGTGCGCACACACACGCGGGGTATGTGTACACACACACTTATGTGCACACACACACGGGGTATGTGTACACACACACTTTGTGCACACAGACATGTGGGGGTATGTGTACACAGACACGTGTACACACACACGGGGTATGTGTACACACACTGTGCACACACACATGGGGGTATGTGTACACACACTTATGTGTACACACACACGTGTACACACACACACACTTGGGCTTTCCTGGTGGCTCCATCAGCAAAGAATCCGCCTGCGATGCAGGAGACCTGGGTCCGATCCCTGGGTCAGGAAGATCCCCTGGAGAAGGGAATGGCTACCCACCCCAGTATTTTTGCCTGGAGAATCCCATGGACAGGGGAGCCGGGTGGGCTACAGTCTGGGGGTTGCAAAGAGTCGGACACGACTGAAGCGACTAAACCTAAATCAAAACCATATACATATATACATAGATTGTACCTTTTATTTTAAACCAAATTTATTTGTTAACTACCATTTTAATACTATTACAAAAATTTTAATTAGGATATGTATAATGTTATGTTGGTTATGAATCAGCCGTAACTGTAGATAGAAATCGCTGTCCCCTTGGGACTCCCACCCACCCTCCCATCCTACCCCTTACTAATCCATTTTCAAGTTCACTTATTCTTTCTTCTTTAATATCCATTCTGTTATGAAGTCTCTTCTGTTATGAAATCCATCCAGTGATTTTTTAAATTTCAAATATTTTAAGTTCTAAAATTTTCACATGGCTCTTTATAATTTTTATTTCTCCACTAAAGATGTCTAATTTTCCATGAATTTCAGAAGTGTTTGCCTTTACCTCGTAGAGCATGATTGGAACTTTAAATTCTTTGATAATGTGGACATCTGGGGGACCAAAATCTGTTTTCTTTTCTCTTGGCATTTTCCTGGTTCTCTGTAAGCTGGCTAATTCCACACTGAATCCCTGACACTCAATGTTACATCATGAGCCTCTGGGTCCTGGTAAAACCCTCTGGCAGATGTCGGTTTTGTCTGTTTTAAGAAGGCGGTCAACCCAGTGAGGTTCAGACCACAGCTCCGCCACCCTCTGTGGCTGACTGCGGTGCCACCCTGGGCCCGCCTCACACACCTCACAGCTGGGGCACGGCCAGCCTGGGACCCAGCATTGTTTACGGCCCATCTGCTCTCAGGGCCTTTCATGTGCTGTTTGGGGTCCGCTCCAACTGGGGTGAGCCAGCGCCTGTCAGCGTTCGTGGAGAGTGAGGGGTCCACTCTGCCGGCGCTCTGCTCTCTGGGGTTCACCTCACACGCACCTTCTCCCGGGGCCCCTTCCTTGGTTCCTCTGTCCAGAAAGACAGGTTGCCCTTAGGGTCCTAACCGCCTGCACTGCCCTGCTTCCACCCAACTGGAGCCGCCTTTCAGGAAAACCCGTGGAGCAAAGAGAAACAGTGGGGACCCCACCATCTCAGCCCACAGGGCCCCTCTTCCCAGGTCTCCGGGAGTCCTCGCCCTGGTGCTGGCCACATAACTCCAGAGGTCAGGGCCACCCTTGGGTCAGATCTGGGAGGAGAAAGAAACGCCCTCCCCCAAAGGCCATTTTTCAGGTCTTGTCTCTTCAGTCTACCTGCGATCACCTCTCAGACAGCTCAGACATGAGAGCAATAGACAAGCTCCACCTCAACCCAGAAGCCCTCTGGTGGGGGGCGCATTTGAGAAGGCGAGTTGCCCCTGGGGAAAGGGGAGCAGGTGCATCTGCTGGGCCCGGTGTCCTCCCGTGGACATAAATGATTGCCCTCCACACCAACCCCAGCCACGGCTGCTCTGGGACCCACACATCAAGACAAAAACACTGAACAGACGCGAACACTGAACCTTGTCCAGGCCACAGAAACACCCAAAGGTCCCCGTCCAGGTACAGCTGCCCCCTCATGTCACAGCTGTTGCCTCGCCCCAGCCGCCCTCCCTGCAGACACTGAGGGTGCTGGGAGGTCTGGGCCTCGTGAAGGCCTCCCTGGACGTGGACAAGAGGCCGCTAGATCCCAAGGGCTGCGGGGAGAAGGCGGGCCCCAGGGGCTGACCTTGACACGGACGAGCCTCCCAGGAGCAAACACAAGCCAGGCGCTGGGGTCTGCCGAGGTGACTCTGAAGTGATGTGGGGGTACGGGGCAACCCTTCGTCTGCATTGAGAGACGGGGGTCGGTGTGTAAAAGCAGCGGCCCGGCCCTCTCTCAGGATGCCCAGTGTGCGGGTACCTGTGGCCCGGCAGCAGGGCGCCCATGGGGGAGAAGGTAGGGAAGCCCATGCACTTCCAGCCCCAGCCCCTCAGATCACAGGGTTACAGCCCTGGAGTTGGGGGGTGGAGCCAGAGGCCCAGCCATGCCCCCTTGCCGACAGCTACAGCTGAGTCGGAGGCTTTGCCCACGGACCTCCCAGAGTCAGTCAGTGGCCTGGAGGACCCGCGGGAGGCAGGCTGGGCCCCCAGAGCTGGTACTGCGGGCCTGGAGGACCCGCGGGAGGCAGGCTGTTCCCCCAGAGCTGGCACTGCGGGCCTGGAGGACCCACGGGAGGCAGGCTGTGCCCCCAGAGAGGTAGCACTGAGGGCCTGGAGGCTGAGCCAGGGGCAGCAGCAGGTCTGTGACCCTCCTCCTGCCTCCACCGGCCGACCTGGTTGGAGGCCGGGCATCAGGCCAGCAGGACAGGCAGAGCCATCCGGAGCCTAGAAGGGCAGCCTCCCCTCTGCTGGTCCGTGTCCCTGCCGACTGACCCCCACCAGCCGCCCTCCCTCCCTCCATGGAGGCTCCCCAGACGGTGAGAACCCCAGGCCCAGGGCAGCAGACCCTGGGGAGCCTGAGCCCAGGGGGGCTCCACGCTGCCCCTGGAGCTGGCAGAACACAGGCGGTGTCTCAGCCCTGGCCTCCCAGCAGCGCTGAAGGTGCCCAAGGGCACTGCTGGCCGGTCCCCCCGTCCAGCAAAAGGCGGAGAGCGGCTCCAGCTCTGCCTCCGGGCCGGGCCCAAGCAGAGCCTCTCTGACCCAGCCTGGCTGGAGGGCCCCTGGTCTTGGAAGCCATGCAGCATAGTGGGAAGTGCCAGCCGTGTCCGCTCAGGCCCCTGCCCCACCCTGGGGACGCGCCCTGCTAGGGGGCCTGGAACCAGGGGAAGGGGACGTGGGGGGGCTGCAGCTACAGCTGGAGCAGCAGAGAGAGGAGACCCTGGGGTGGCTGGGCCCGCAGTACCTACGGAGCTGCAGCCTTCTCCTTGCAGGGCTTGCTCACCTCACAGGGCAGAGCCTACACTGCCGCCCCCTCCCAGCCCCCAGGGCAGAGGGGCTGTGCCGCTCCAGCCCCAGGCACCCCTGAGCAGGGGGCTGCTGTGGCTCTGGAAGCTCCCAAAACCACACTGGTCACCCTAACACAGGCTCACAGCCAGGGCCAGCAGGGCTGTGGGCCAGGCTTGAGGCGGGTCCCCTGAGCAGGTGGCGGCTCCTACACCAGCCCTGAGGCAAGCTCCAGGCACGGTGCTGCTCCCAGCTTTCGCCTCCCGCAGCCCCAGGGGCAGGGCCTGGCTGTACAGAAGGGTGACCCCTCTGCTGGAGAACCAGAGAACCTCCTTGTCAACCCTGCGTGGCCTACCCGGCCCCTCCCATCTGGGCCTCACACAGGTCAGCAGAATCCACCCCTCTTGCTCAGCAGGAAGCCCAGGCCTCACTGTGGACCGCAAGCCCTGCACACTCTGGGGCCCAGGTCCCGGCCCCGACTTCACGCCTCCCTGTGACCTGCCTCAGAAAGAAGGGGCACCGTGCTGGCTGATCTGATGCTGCAGCTCTGAGCCACACTGGGGGCTTCGGAGTCCTGCGGACTGCACAAGTACCCATGCAGGTGTTCCCCATCAGCCGCGCCTGGAGGGCCGTTCTGCGCAGCTGCTGCTCTAGAACCTTCTACTCCTCAGGAGGCGGGGACCACACTTCTAGCCCCAAGGTGGTGGAGGGAAGCAGGAGGTAGTGCTGGGTGCTCGAGGCTGTCCGTCTTGGCATACAGAGCCCGTGGGGGTCTCCGGGCAGGGCACCAGGGACCTGGGGAGCCCGGAGCCAGGGCAGGGAGGCTGGAGGCAGTGGGGCATGCATACACCTGCCCGGAAGACAACTTCCCACCTGACTCAGTGATAGCACCTCCCGCGGCACAGATGCCAGGAGGTCATGGGGAGGCCCGGCAGATCATCTCCAAACCTCCCGCCCAGGCAGCCTCAACCTCCCACGGTAGGACAACAGTCGCCCCAGGACTCAGTGGAGACCAAGACACCCTGCCAAAGCCAGCTCTGAGGGCCTGTATTCTCTCACCTGCCAAGCAGCTCTGGCCGGCCCCGAGCCACCCACCCCCCGGAACTTGCACACGCACACACACCCCGGACTCTTGTCTGGGTCCCGAAGTGCACAGGTGAAGCCTAACGCCAGGTGCCCTGGGGTTAGGAGGCCTCGGGGAGGAAATTGGGTCCTGAGGGTGAGGCCCTTGGGAACTGGAACTGGTGTCCTTGCATCAAGCCCAGAAGGGTCCCGGCCTTCCAGCATGAGGACACAGTGGGAAGCTGGCCATCAGAGGCCTGTGAGCGCACCCTGCCCTATCTGAGGCCGGACCCTGGTCTCAGACGTGTGGCCCCGGCAGCTGAGAGAGAAGACTCCCACATCAGTGAGCCCCAGCTCTGCAGTGGTCCATCACGGCAGCCTGAACAGACCAAGGCGTGCGCACCCACCAACCTCCTCACGGGGACCCCGCCCGGGGGCCCACGCACCTTGAGTCTCTGATGCGACTGGCCAGGTCGCTGGGCACTCTGTGGTGGGGTGATGGGGGGCTTCTGTGCAGCTGCCTGGACTCGGGGCAGGGCCGCACTCAGAGGGGCCTCAGGCCTGCAGCCCTCCCCGGCAGACACCCGGCAGGCTGGGACGCGGCTCAAGGCTGCTTACACGGCCCTGCCACAGGGGAGGGTGGGCACAGGCGCGAAGGGAGAAGCAGAGAAGCGGGACCCACCCCTCCGTGCTGTCCCCCTGTCTGGCCACACACAGCAGTGCCCTGGAGCCCCGAGACAGCCCCCTGGGCCCCACCCCCCAGAGGCACCGCCAGAACCTACATCCCGGACAGAGTTTATTGGATGCTGCCCCTCCTGGGGGTGTGAGGGAGGAACCCTACAAATGGGCACCTGGGACACAGCCTCCAACCAGCACTGGAGAGGCTGCCAGGTCACCAGGGGGTGGCAGGTCAGGTTGGGCTCCCGCAGGCTCAGCAGCAGCGCTGAGCCCGTCGGCTCGCCGGGCTCCGCTCTCTGCCCCTCCTCCTGCCAGCTCTGTAGCGGCCACTCTGCCTCCATCAGGGCGCGGGCCCCAGGCCCGGGTTGTCGCTGGAGCCCTCCGTGGCCACGCTGGATGTTCTATGGCCCTTCTGCAGTGTGTAGGTGGATGGCCCCAGACGCAGGATCTTCCCGCTGCCCAGGCACTCGTCCCCTTTGTAGAACACGGCGAACTGGCGGGACAAAGGCCGCGTCACCTGCAGCAGGACCCGGGCTTCAGGTGCCCTGAGCAGCCTGGATCCACGCAGCTGGTCCAGCGCTGGGGGACGGCGGGCCCCGCGCCACAGGCAGGCCAGAGCAGGGCCGCGTGGGAGTCAGGCCGCGTGCTCGCAGCAGTTGGGAGAGCAGCGCCAGGTGCAGGGCTGGCCACATGACCAGCACCCCACACCCTCTCTGCCCCCAGCCCCTCACTGTCTGGAGGAAGAGCAGGCTGTCCATCCTTCCAGAGCATGAAGCCCGCTACCACGAGCCTGCATCTCTGCAGGCCGAGCTGGTGCTAAAGGGCCACATGCAGCTGCAGGGCCACGACCCCATCCGACCCGCCAGCCGGAGTCCCCACTCACCTGTCCCGGGGCGAGAGCGCGCACAGCCTTCACGGCCGTCACCCACACGGTGCCATCCTGATTGAGGGTCAGCACGCAGGGCACTGGGTGGAAGAGAAGGACCCTTGGAGGGGGTGCTAGCCTTGCTGAGCGTGCAGCCTCAGGTCTTAGCCCCGGGGGAGGAGGAGCAGGCCATGGGGACAAAGGAAGCTTGGGGCAACAACAGCCAGGGGGCTCAGCGCTGCCCAACCGGGGCCAGGGGTACACACACCACTTGCCACTCACCTGCCAGCTGGACCGAGGTGCCCCACCCCTCCCCAAGACCCTCCTGCATCCCAGACAAAGGAGGCTCAGCTGGCCTCAGTGCCTCCAGCCTGTCTCTGCAGGCAGAGGGCGAGGAGGGCTGAATGGGCTACGTGATCTGGACACTGAGGCCCTCCCTGCCCCAGGTCTGATCCTCTGATCTAACCCCACCCTGACCCACGGGTCCTTGAGCAGTCACCTAGCGCCATCTGGTGGCGGAAGCGGAAGTGACACTCCATCATCTTGTCGCGGACCAGGGCAGCAGGCGGTTCCTCCGCGATCCAGTGAACGCGGCCGGTCCGCAGCAGGTCTCTGTACAGGGCCGGGTGGTCTGTCCGGGGGGCCTGCGGGACGGAACGCGAGGCTGTGGCGCCCTGCGCCCTCAGCAGAGGGTCCCTGCCCCAAAGCCCCCTCGCTGCACTCCATTCACGACTAGCAGTGAGCACGCAGTGAAAACCACACTGACCCGTGGAGACTCGTGTGTGTCCCTGGAGCCGCCCTAACGGCGCACATGAGCGCACGGAGGGGAGGCCACGCGCACGCGCCCTAGGTGAGCAGAAGAGGAGCACGCGGCCCGCTCACGGTCTCACTCCTCTCGTCCCGGCCACACCCTTGCCTGCCCAGCGCCGGGCCGGGGAGCCCGGGCCAGCCGCACTCCCACAGGGATCCCACCAGGCCCTCGTGGCTGGGAATAGGCTCCTGGGGCCTGCACACACCCTGGCCTCCTAGCACCCAGCAGCACCCCGGAGGCAGGACGGAGGACACCAAGTCCAGGGCTCTCGGGCTCTAAGCAGACGAGGAGACCCGCACAGGGACCAGTGTCAGTGGACCGCCCTTTCCCAAAGCAAAAGACACTACTGAACATCACACTGCAGTCACTTTAATTCACCCCGATCAGAATCGCTGCCCAGACTTCTGCACCAGGGCCCTCCCAGGAGGAAATGTCCCAGCCCCGGTGGGCGGGCTCGCTGGCCCTCCACCCGGTCTAAGAACAGAGCGTGCGCTCAGTCAGGCTGCTCACCCCCAGCCCTGCCAAGACTGGGACTAGATCATTCTGCAGGGGACAGGGTCCTGGGCTTCACCTGCTACACACCAGCAGGACCTGATGCCCGCCCCAACGCTGTGACACTAAAAACGTCCCCAGGCCCTGAGAAATGTCCCAGGTCCCAGAGCCCTGCTACAGCAGATGGTCTGGGTGGGTCCCAGCTCTGTTCTTCTGTCGTTCAACAGTGACTCGCTGGAAGCCCCCGTGAGCAGGCCCATCCCAGGCACTGACCACCCTGTCCACGAGGTTTGGGTCCGTCTCCTTTGTACAATCAGAGGAGTGACATCTACTTACGGGAACTAATGTCATGATGACCAGTGTGATGGGCATACAGGAAGAGCTAACAACTACCTCACACAAAACCTCTGGTACCAGTGTCAATCCCGGAGGGCACAGAGGTAGGCCCTGCAGAGCGCCCACCCCGCCTGCTCAGCCCCACGGGCTCTGCCCGGCCTGGCCTCCGTCACCTCCCCGTTGACTCACCACAAGCACGTCGCCCTTGGCACCATCCTTCTCCACCACGTACCAGGGCTCCCGTAAGCCTCCTATGTTGGCTCTCTGGCCCAAAGTGTACAGGAACCAACCTACGGAGAGTTTCTCGCTGAGGTGGGAGGAACCCCCTCGCTAAAGGCCTGGCAGGACGGGGGCGACAGGCAGGAGGCGCCCCTCTGTGGCCCGCTTGCAGCAGCTGGGGTTAGGCCGTACCTCCCACCCCGCAAGGAGCAGTTCCAGCTGCGGGGCCACCCGGCCGGCAGTGAGTGGGGCCCAGTCCTTCAGAAGGTGGACCTAGTGCCCCGCCAGAAGCCACGAGCCCCTCTTGCTGAGCCTCCATGGGTTTCACAGGCGCACCCCGCTCCCGTGGATGAACCATACGAGGGCGGGCACACCAGAGCGGGCACGCTATCTCTGTGCGCCCCGCCTTTATGTGTCCGTTCAGCCTCACCTTTATGTGTTCCCAGAACCTTGTTGTCTTCTATAGAAATAAACCGGCCAGGTCGAGGCTGTAAGTACTGGAAAACAAGTGTTCCATCACCAACAGCTCCAGGTTCAGAGCAGAAACAGGGCCCCATCCTTTCACATCAAAAAACACTCACCTCAAGGATGAAATTTTCAAAGTTCCTTTTACCAATAAAACAGATGCCCATGCTCTGAAATGAACGGAAGGCCAGGTGTGAGACGTACGGCTGGGCAGGGGTCCCGCGCTCCACTCAAGAGACCCCAGGCAAGGATGTGGGTGCGACACAGGGCCTCCTGGGGCTCACCCGTCCTGAGCTACCACACCCTCCAGGCCAGGGGCCCAGCTCCCCTCCTCCAGGGCCACAGACACCAGTCAGAGCCACGCGCAGACCTCGCGGGCCTTGTTTCAGGTCCCAGACAAGGACCCAGCAGCTACGCTAGCAGCGCCACCACCAGCCCGGCCCGCACTCACGGCAGACCCTCAGGCCAGCCGCCCAGAAAAGGAAACCAGAGCTGCTGGAGCCCTCAGACACTGTCCGTGAGGCTGGGGGAGAGACAGAGGCCAGAAGAGGAAGCACAAGCCAGGCCACAGGGAGAGGTCGCAGGAGGGTCAGAGTCCCGTCTCGATGTCTAGCGTGAAACGAGTGAGTGGGAATGGGTCGCCCGGCGTCCTCGCCTACACTCTGCCTTGTGTCTCCCTACAACGGGGGTCCCCTGAGGGCAGCGCCCTCACCCCCTACCAGCAGCAACACCCCTCAATCCTACCTCCTTCTTCTGAAGCACATGATGAAGTCTGTTCTCAGCAGCTATTTTCTTTACGAAATCTTTCGTTAATTCCCCCAGGGGGAAGAGGGTTCTCCTTAGCGCCTCCTGGGGAACCTGGCTGAGAAAGAAGGTCTGGTCTTTAAAGCTGTCAGCTGCTTGGAGGAGTTTTACCGCTGCCAAAAGTAAAGAACAAAAGATGTTGCAGGAACAAAAATAACCATACTTTGCTTTTACTAGTGTCCTTCTGTTTACTTTGACAGGTTAGCCCTGGTCTGGCAGAAACAAAGATCAATACTCAACAGCACACTTCCAGAAAAATGATCTGCCATGGTTAAGAAAAATTCCCATCCCTAATTTATCTATTGTTGAAAAAAATACATGGAAGGGAGATTTTATGTGATAAGGAAATTTATTCCGGTTCATGTGTTAGGCTATGTTTTCAAAGATTAAACATCACATGACAAAAACATTATGAAGTATTAAGAAAACAACAAAATGAGCCACATTTGGGAAAATCAGATGAGACGCCTCCCAGCAAGCCCTGCTGAGACTGGCGGGCTGCGCTGCTTCCCATCAAACACAGGTGATCACGCCCTGGCTCTCTCCTCACCTCCCACCCCCAGTGGACGCCGACCACACTCCCCAGCAGCGCCTGTTGCTTGCTGGCAGTGGGCTTTGCTGAGTCCGAGCTGACGCCGGGCAGCCGCTCCTCTCTGGCCCCTCTGAAGGTCTGCATGTGCACCAAGTTGCTGTAGCTGTGTCTGACTCTGCCAGCCCACGGACTGCAGCCCGCCAGGCTCCTCTGTCCATGGGATTCTCCAGGCAAGGATACTGGAGTGGGTTGCCATGCCCTCCTCCAAGGGATCTTCCCAGCCTAGGGATCTCTCACAGGTCACCTGCATCTCTTACATCTCCTGCATTGGTAGGTGGGTCCTCCACCACTAACACCACCTGCAAAGCCCCTCCAAAGGTCTGTTTCATTGTAAAGACTGTTTCCACCTTGACGGCAATGGTGCAGAGCTCTGCCTGACCCTGGCCTTGGGACGGGGTTCGGAAAACAAGGTCCAGCTCCACCTCTGGCCGCCAGGTCCTGCCTGGCGTGTTACAGACCTTCTATGACCATGAACACTGGGTCCTCCGCTCTGCAGCTCAGTGACCAATGGAGGAGATGGAGCGTGACACCAGTGTCACAGCCTCTTTCCATGTGTTTCAGGACCAGGGCTAAGCGAAGCCTCGGGAAGTCACACACAGAGCTCACATCTGCGCAAAGGTACAAAGAGCCCAGGCACAGCGTGTGGCCCGGCCTGTCACACACGTAACGCGCTCTCCGTGTGGTTGGTTAGGTTTTCCTTCTGTGACCTCAAATTTGACCCTCACGTTAGCTCTACAACAGGTGTATCCCCATCTTCAGGTGAGGAAACCAAGGCTTAGATAATTAAATGACTGCTCACAGGGGTGCAGGGAGACGGGGGCAGAGCTGGAAACTGAACCCAATCACATGGGTTCCATTCCATCAGTTTTTACGTACAAAACAACAAAATCAAGTGAAAAGTGAAAAAGAGAGTCCAGTCAACCAGTCATCAGGTAGGCAGGCTCATTTGCCAAATACTATTTTTTGTTTCAAAACTAAATTTAAACAAACAAAAATCTATGATTTTTAAAAAAAAGAGTGGGTAACCCTTAACCAGGAAGAGGGACCCCTACTAAGGGAGGGTTTGCCGGCACCCAGAGCTCCCTTCAGCACCTGCCCTGCTCCAGGCTGGCCAGCGTGCCACCTGCCCCGACATGGGTGAGGACACAGGCTGCCCCTGGGACAGGTAGGACACAGGAGTTCAGGCTGGGCATGCTGACCCCGTGCCCTCTCCCCAAGGACTCAGGCCAGGAGGCTTAATCCAGTCTCCAGGGCAACTGAGTCAGAACAAAATAAAAAGTCTCTAGGTGTCTTGAAAACACACAGAGAACAAAGACACTGCAGCATCGTTACAATAGCTACACAGACCAGAGCACGCACCACGTGATCAGGTCTGGTCAGAAAGGCCCAGCCAGCTCTGCGCAGTGGCACCTTTTCCAGGAGATAAGCAGGCACGCTACGCAACACAGAAACGAATCCTTCATCTACTAACGACCCGGGACCCACGACTGCTGGGTCTTGGGGCCTGATTCCGCTGTGGAGTGCCTGGGCCGGCAGGGCTGGGCGGTCACGGCCAGGTCCTCCTGGTGTGCGGGTTGGGGGGGTGTTTTCCTGGTGAGGGGTGCCCAGGAGTGTACAGGCAGCACCCGGGGAGGGAAGCGGCCATCTCTCCCTGGGCACCAGTGCCCCCCAGGGGACACAGTGCAGGGCAGGCGGCAGCAGGGGGCCTTCCCAACACCAGGAAAGCAGCGGCTCTGTCTGGGCCCGGTCAGCACGCTGATCTGTGGCCTTGGCTGCCGTGAGGTGGAGGGAGGAGGAGAGAAAATGGCAGCTGAGCTGCGGCCATTAATTGGGCTGGACAACATGGAGGACCAGGAAGGAGCAGACTGTGGAGCTGGGTGGACCGGGCTGGGTCCAGCCCCCGACCCAAGGCCCCCCTGCCAGAAATGCAGCCAAGCTTCAGTTGCTTCCTCGGAGAAAAGGACCCGGACCCACCTGTTGGCCCTGCTAAGATGGGTGCAGGGAGGGGACACCTCACGCTGGGGTCGGAGAGGGAGGCGGTGGACAGGAGGCAAGCCAGGGCAGGCCAGACCTGGAGAAATGCCAGGTTTGCTACGGTCCTGTAGCCGAGGAAACCATTTGCAGAGACGTGGCTCTGAGCTCCATGCCGTCCTTCACTTCATAAGGATATAAATTTTTCTACACAAATGTGCACCAGGACAAGACAACAGCCTTCCAGTGGACTGCTTGGCACTTTCCAGGCTGGTGACACCTTGTGCCCTTTGACACTGATAACCTAATTTATACACGTAATGTTTCAAAGCAAGCTGCCAGGCCTGTCCCATGAATGTTAGGAGCCAGCCTCATTTCACACTGAAGTACCACGTCACACCTCAATCTCGAAAACGCGAGACTGAGAATTGGGCCTGTGACACTCCAACACTGTCGCCTGCTTCCCCCAGAACTGGGTTAGGTTTCCCAGCAGCCCTGCCCAGGCGCCTGCCTGAGCCAATCGGAGGCCCTGGGGAAATGACTCTTGAGGTAACTGTCGTTTTTTGAAGAGAAAACCAAAGGCAACAAGCTCACCTGGAAAACACGGGGAGAAGTTGGGCAGAGTGCCTGACAACGCACAGTCACTACTTCGTTTCCGAATAGCTCAGCCCTGGCCTGGACACATGTACTCACCGTTCCTAACTTCAAACCGGTTTCTGAAGAGCCCTTCTGGCCTCTTGATGTGCTTCTGCTGAAACACCTCTTCATCTTCCAGGGACGTTCTTGCGTAGTGACCTGTCGCCACTGCATCTGCGCCTGGGAGGTTTTTAAAAGCATGAGGGTAGGAGTTTAGACATGCACTTGCTGGCCTCAGTCGGTCCGGGCCCAGGGTGGTCCACAGGGCAGAGATGCCAGGTCTCACACCATGCGGTCTGTGCACCCTCAAATGCTCAGATCCCAGGGAAGAGACACACTCCTGGGATTCTGTTAAAGAGGTGGTCTTTGAAGTCTCTAAACTGATAAAATCTTAGCTACAAGGTTTTGCTGCGTATCTAAAGCCTTTGAAAAGTTAGTACTGGGAATTCCCTGGCAGCCCAGTGGTGAGGACTCAGAGCTTTCACTGCCAGTGCCCAGGTTCGATGCCTGATTGGGGAACTAAGACCCCACAAGCCACATGTCCAAAAAAAAAAGTAAACATCTATTCATTCATTCTAGCTTAAGGAAAACGTCAAACATGTACACAAAGGTTTAACTACAAAAAGCTCATTTCAATGCTTTTTACACTAAGGAAAAACTGCAAACAACCAAAATGTGTAACAACAGGAGATTACGAATAAAGCCTCACTGCATAACAACAATGCCACATACACAGAATTTTTAATGGCACTGGGGAAATGTTCATGATATTGTTCAGCAGAGAAAGAAAATACAGGATCCCACTCTTCTCAATGTACAGGAAAACCAGAAGACAAGCAACAGAAATCCTTTCTCTTTGATTCTGGGAGGAAATTACAGATGACACTTTCCCTCCTATTCTTATGCTTCTAAGTTTTAAACTTTCTTTAATAAATGTATATTACTTTTATCACAGTGAAGGACCATCCAGTAAAATCAATTTCTTCTTTCCACACTATGCAAAACAGTTAAAGAACCTACCAAAGCATATATTAATTCACAGCCCTTGCATTGTGTGAAAACTTCACAGACATTCAGGATTGTGGGACTATTTCCCAGAAGCTGCAGCAAAACTGACCCAGCACTTAACCAAAGAATTGTTTAGTCGCTAAGTTGTGTCCAACTCTTTGTGACCCCACAGACTGTAGCCTGCCAGGCTCTTCTGTCCACGGGACTCTCCAGGCAAGAATACTGGAGTGGGTTGCCATTTCCTTCTCTAGGGAATCTTCCTGACCCAGGGATCAAACCCACGTCTCCTTTCTTGGCAGGCAGATTCTTTACCGCTGAGCCATCAGGAAGCCCAATCAATCAGTTGTCGTTGTTTAGTTGCTCAGTTGTGTCTGACTTTGCGACCCCATGACTGCAGCACGCCAGGCCTCCCGGTCCTTCACCATCTCCCAGAGCTTACTCAAACCCATGTCCATTGAGTCGGTGATACCATCCAACCATCTCATCCTCTGTCGTCCTCTTCTCTTCCTGCCTTCAATCTTTCCCAGAATCAGGGTCTTTTTCAAAGAGTCAGCTCTTCACGTCAGGTGGCCAAAGGACTGGAACTTCAGCTTCAGCATCAGTCCTTCCAATGAATATTCAGGACTTATTTCCTTTAGGATTGACTGGTTTGATCTCCTTGTAGTCCAAGGGACTCTCAAGAGTCTTCTCTAGCACCACAGTTCAAAAGCATCAGTTCTGCCTGGCTCAGCTGTGATTCTCACTCCAGAGTCGGAGGAAAAATACTTGTCCAATACTGGGTGAGCTCTTCAAATTTTAGCTTTACATCCTCAGATCTGGCAGATATATGCTGAAACCAACCTCAGCTTCTGGAAATCTCATGATTTTTAAAAAGACAAACGAAGATAATCCAAATCACTTACCAAGATTATCCACAGCATAATTAAAAAAACAACGGAATTTGATAAGCTTGTTGCAGACTATGTCAGGATTAGGAGTTCTTCCTTTTTCATATTCATTTAAAAAATCACTGGAATGAAAAGAAAAGCCTTTTTATCTCTAAGTGTCAAACATACTATGGAAAAATAAATGAGGTACATGACTTGCTTAGAGCTTCTCCCCGTTTTACTAAAACTGTGATTTTCTGCAAGGTAGGAGCTTCAGTACAGAATCATTTTCAGTATTTTCATCAAACGTCCGTTTAAAGCCAGTTGCACTTTCCACCTGAATCTGCACTCACCAGGCACCAAGCCCCACTGCGCCATTTCCCAAAGTAAGACCCACAGGACCCCATCGCTGTTGAGGTGCAGGTTGCAGGGCCTGGCCCAGGCTCAGGTGTCTGTTTAACCAGCACTCCAGCTGGTCCCTCAGCCTGACACCAACGGCTCAGGGGCTTCGTCCTCAGGGGCCAGCCGCAGCCAGCCTTCCAGAGCGCACTTGAGCCCTAGCTCTCCTATGCTAATCTAGCAGCAGAAAGGTTGCTGCTAAAGGCTGAAGAGATGTTAAAGAGACCTCTGGCAGGTGGCACAGTAATAGGAATACGGGCTGGGGTGCTCAAGACACAGGCCTGGCTTCTAACCCAGACTCCCCAGGGGCGGCCGGGGCCTCCCGCACGTGGTCTCCGGCACCACGGCCTGAAAGCAGAAAGTGCTGGTGGGGCGCATTAGCCTGGTTGACCCCGGCAGGCCTGCTGTTGGAAAGGCTCGCATCACCGCAGGAAGCTCCCCGTGTCGGGAGCGCCCCCACCTGAAGACGTCGTTCCAGTACTCCTTCACGTAGGACACCTGCCGGAAGGGGATGTCCAGGATCTGGCACACTCTGTAAGCATCCTCGCAGTCTCTGTCGGCAGTGCAGACGCCGTGTTCGTCCAGGGAGTCCCAGTTCCTCATGAACACCCCTGTCACCTGGTAACCTGTGGGGAGGAGCGGAGGAGAGGCTGTAACATCGACCTGGAGAGGAAAAGGCAGCGCCTTCCAAGCTCTCCCGCACCTCTGTGCACTGGGGCCTAGCAGCGCCTCCCGCCACCGCGTGGCCTGCGGCGCTCTGACTGCATCTTAATGCAAACCGCCGCTGACGCGCCGGCAGAGGCTCCCACTCTGACCCTCTGCTACACACACTTGGTAAAGGCCTCCATCATCACAACACCCTGTGGGGCTGAACTGATGGTGTGCATCTCAGAGGTGTGAACATCCTGGAGGTGTGAACACGATGGCATCTTCTCATCTTCACGCGCCCACACTGTGTGGGCATACAGAGAGACTTGGCAGTGTGACTGCATGAAAGAAGAGCAGAAATTCTACACGACTTTTCAAAACAAACACGAACTACCATTCAGTTACCAGAAAGGCAAACTCAATCCAAAAGTTATTTCCAATTACCCACTCAGAATTAGATTCTAAGCCGTCAGCCATAAAGACATTCAAAATTTTGGTTGCTTTATCATGGGGCTTCCCTGGTGGCTCAGGCGGTAAAGAATCTGCCTGCAATACAGAGGACCCAGGTTCAACCTCTGGGTCAGGAAGATCCCCTGGAGAGAATGGCAACCCGCTCTAGTACTCTTGCCTGGAGAATTCCATGGACAGAGGAGCCTGGTGGGCTACATACAGTCCTTGGGGTCACAAAGAGGTGGACATGACTGAGTGACTAACAGGCACACACATCTATATACATTGAGACCTCTTTTTTCCTTTTTCTGTTGCAGACAAAGTATCAAACCAAATGTTGGGGAGACCAACTTTGTAACTACATGGGCGTCTACCACATATGAGAAACGTTTCTTTTGGGTTGGCTGAACGTAATGAAAGACAGGGCCATGGACTGTAAAAGGTTTAATACGGTACTCCAGAGAGCAGAGACTTGGTGACAAAGCTGCCAAACATTAATAAAAGGCCACGTGAGCAAGGCCATTATACCAATCCCAGCAGGTCCTCCCTCCTCTACGTTCCAAATCCCCTGACCCTGCTTCCCTAACAGTGCACACTACACTGGGCTCCAGCCGTTCCTGTCCGCACCCCTGCAGCTACTGAAGTGAGGCAGTCTGCCACCTGCCAAGGCTGTCTCACACCCGTGTGCGTCCAGCAGTGCTTAAGAACAAGAGCTTAAGCAGAACAAATACACAACTCCACACCCAGAGCTTTAAAATCCCCCTCTTCCATGGCCTCATCTGCCTGATCATCCTTCTCCTGGGGACGTGACCACTCACGTGGCTGAGCCCTGGCACTCCAGAAGACCATAGCGCTTTGCCGGCCCTTAACTTTTCAGGAGGCACATGACAGAACATGCACCTCTGACGAGACTGAAAAAGACCTCCGTGTCAAGGGGAGAGGACCGTGCTGCTTCTCTGCTGTGCCCATCAGCTTCCCACCTGGAGGAGCAAAACCCAAGGCAGCTGGTCTGTGAAGCTGCTCAGCCTGGATTCTGGGAAGGAGCGCTTGCCTTCCTGATGGAGTAAAATAACGTAACTCGCCTAGTTACACTAGACACTAACTAGTGCACTAACCAAAGGCTGGGGCTCAGGAGGCATGGAAGTATTCTTAGTAACCAGAGCTGTTACAAAGTTATAATAAAAAGTGTTAAACACAAGTAGAGGCAGGCTGTGAGCATATATAATTGCAATAAAGCAGGCCCTTAACCCAGGGATGTCTGCCACATCGCCCCAGACATGTCACTGCCTAGTCAGAACCCTTCAAGGGCTCTGCCCGGTTTTCCAACACAGTCTGAAGTCCCTAACAGAACCCATTCCATAAGCAGCACTCACCCTACCTCTCCACCTCCTCTCGCTCCGTAACTCCCAGACCCAGCCAGCACTTCTGTGCCTCTGAGCTTTGTGCCTGCTGCTGACTCCGCCAGAAATGCTTCCACCTTACCTCCTGAGCCCCAGCCTTTGCTTAGGGAACTCCTCCTCCTCCTCCTCCAAGTCGTGATACCACGGATGAGAGGATCTTAGATCTCTTATCTTCCAGGTTGCTACCTCCTCGACAAATAAAACTTTCTCTGCTCCAAACTCAAACTTTCAGTTTGTCTGGCCTCACTGTACCACTGAACACACGAACTGGGGTTTGACAGTAGTCTCAGGGCAAACACCACCGTCTCTATGATGCTTTGATTTCCTGCTTTATCGCAATTATATATGCTCACAGCCGGCCTCTACTTGTATTTGACACGTTTTATTATATCTTTTGTAACAGTTTTGTTATTAATACGAACTAATAACCTCTCCTGCTGAGTGCCTAACGTGTGCTGGGCACTGGGGTAATGGATTTGTGTGTCCTGTTATTTATTAATACTACCTCCAGTAACCCTGGGAGGTAGGCGCTCCCTCCATTTTACAAACAGGGGGAGCTTGAATCACTTGTCCCAGGTCAGGAACCTTGGGTTCCCTCTGCATTCCAAGTGCCTAAGAACGAAAGGCGCCTCAACAACAGAGGGTCTACAAGTGCCATTAGGTACAGGAGGGCTCACACCGGGAGAGGGTCAGACGGACGGAGAATTACATAGGCAGCGAATCTCGGCCTCAGGTAGGCGCCTGAGGAAACGGAAGCGCTCCTGAGCAGAGTCTGTCATCCACCGATGGAAAACACAGCCGTGACTTGATAACCACACCGCCCGTCGGGACTGGTCGCACACGCCTCCAGACGGCCACGCCGTGTGTCGTGGAGACAAGGACCTCCACGGAGGCTGCAGTGCCCACGTCAATGGTCCTCAGGTCGGCGCTCCTCAGGCCTGGGCTGAGTGCGGACGCCGCCGCCGCCACAGCCGCGGGAGCAGGGCCTCGAGGCCAGGGAGAAACGCGGCCGTCGGGAGTCGGAGACCCACTCTCCCCTGCTCGACCCGGAGGCAAGTGGGGGCCTGACGGCTCCCCGACAGGCGGAGCGGCGGCCGCGCGCTCTCCCACCCCCAGGCGTACAGTGAGGGCCGGGGCGCCGCGCCACTAGGCAGGGCTCTCGGAGAAGGGGCCGCTCGGGGGCGGCCGGGTCCCTCGGCCTTCTCACCTCTCCGCCTCAGCAGCAGCGCTGCCACGGCGCTGTCCACGCCGCCGGAGACGGCGCACACGACGTGCCGAGCCGCCTGCATCGAGAGCTGCCGATTCCGTCACTGCCCCCGTCGCTTCCGCTTCTAGCCGGAATTCCCGCCCTCCCCTGCGGCGAGACCGCAGAAGAGGCCCGGGCGGAAGCAGGTGCTCGGCGCCCTGCGTTCCTACGTGCCCGCTGCTCCCTGGCGGGTCTGGGACCACGCCCCCTGCACTCCTGGCTCTTGCTTACCTCTCTGCGCGCAGCTGCCAGACACAATCTGCGTGCATGCGTGCGTGCGTGTGTGTGTGTGTGTGATGTCAACTACAAATTGGCAGTTAACAAGACCATTGCCAAGGACTGAACAACAAAGGCATTTGCCATCTGCCGCTGTGGAGATTGAACCCCATGATGCTGAAATAGCTCTTGACCTTCAACAACCCCTGAGGAAGTTCAGGGTGCAGTGAGGCGCTCTGCGCTCCAGGGAATCCGGTGGGACAGGTCTTTGGATAGTTGGATGTTTTTAGGAACGGATTTTATCATCTCCATCCTTCAGTTCAGTTCAGTGCACTCAGTCGTGTCTGACTCTTTGCGACCCCATGAACTGCAGCAAGCCAGACCTCCCTGTCAGTCAACAATTCTCGGAGTTTACCAAACTCATGTCCCTTGAGTCAGCGATGCCATCCAACCATCTCATCCTCTGTCGTCTCCTTCTCCTGCCCTCAACCTTTCTCAGCATCAGGGTCTTTTCCAATGAGTCAGCTCTTCACATCAGGTGACCAAAGTATTGGAGTTTCAGCTTCATCAGTCCTTCCAATGAACACCCAGGACTGATCTCCTTTAGGATGGACTGGATGGATCTCCTTGCAGTCCATGGGACTGTCAAGAGTCTTCTGCAACACCACAGTTCAAAAGCATCCATTCTTCAGCGCTCAACTTTCTTTATAGTCCAACTCTCACATCCATACATGACAACTGGAAAAACCATAGCCTTGACTAGACAGACCTTTGTTAGCAAACTAATGTCTCTGCTTTTTAATATGCTGTCTAAGTTGGTCATAACTTTCCTTCCAAGGAGTAAGCGTCTTTTAATTTCATGGCTGCAGTCACCATCTGCAGTGATTTTGGAGCCCCCCAAAATAAAGTCAACCACTGTTTCTCCATCTATTTGCCATGAAGTGATGGGACCAGTTGCCATGATCTTAGTTTTCTGAATGTTGAGCTTTAGCCAACTTTTTCACTCTCCTCTTTCACTTTCATCAAGAGGCTTTTTAGTCCTTCTTCACTTTCTGTCATAAGGGTGGTGTCATTTGCATATCTGAGGTTATTGATATTTCTCCTGGCAAACTTGATTCCAGCTTGTGCTTCATCCACCCCAGCGTTTCTCATGATGTATTCTGCATAGAAGTTAAATAAGCAGGGTGACAATATACAGCCTTGACGTACTCCTTTTCCTATTTGGAACCAGTCTGTTGTTCCATTTCCAGCCCTAACTGTTGCTTCCTGACCTGCAGACAGGTTTCTCAAGAGGCAGGTCAGGTGGTCTGGTATTCCCATCTTTTGAAGGGTTTTCCACAGTTTGTTGTGATCCACACAGTCGAAGGCTTTGGCGTAGTCAATAAAGCAGAAATAGATGTTTTTCTGGAACTCTCTTGCTTTTTTGATGATCCAGCGGATGTTGGCAATTTGATCTCTGGTTCTTCTGCCTTTTCTAAAACCAGCTTGAACATCTGGAAGTTCACAGTTCACGTATTGCTGAAGCCTGGCTTGGAGAATTTTGAGCATTACTTTACTAGCGTGTGAGATGAGTGCAATTGTGTGGTAGTTTGAGCATTCTTTGGCATTGCCTTTGAGATTGGAATGAAAACTGACCTTTTCCAGTCCTGTGGCCACTACTGAGTTTTCCAAATTTGCTGACATATTGAGTGCAGCACTTTCACAGCATCATCCTTTAGGACTTGAAATAGTTCAACTGGGATTCCATCACCTCCACTAGCTTTGTTCATAGAGATGCTTCCTAAGGCCCACTTGACTTCACATTCCAGGATGTCTGGCTCTAGGTGAGTGATCACACCATTGTGATTATCTGGGTCGTGAAGATCTTTTTTGTACAGTTCTTCTGTGTATTCTTGCCACCTCTTCTTAATATCTTCTGCTTCTGTCAGGTCCATACCATTTCTGTCCTTTATTGAGCCCATCTTTGCATGAAATGTTCCCTTGGTACCTCTGATTTTCTTGAAGACATCTCTAGTCTTTCCCATTCTATTGTTTTCCTCTATTTCTTGGCACTGATCGCTGAGGATGGCTTTCTTATCTTTCCTTGCTATTCTTTGGAACTCTGCATTCAAATAGGAATGTCTTACCTTTTCTCCTTTGCTTTTTGCTTCTCTTCTTTTCACGGCTATTTGTAAGGCCTCCTCAGACAGCCATTTTGCTTTTTTTGTATTTCTTTTTCTTGGGGATGGTCTTGATCCCTGTCTTCGGTACAGTGTCACGAACCTCTGTCCATAGTTCATCAGGCATTCTGTCTATCAGATCTAGGCCTTAAATGTATTTCTCACTTCCACTGTATAATGGTAAGGGATTTGATTTAGGTCATACATGAATGGTTTAGTGGTTTTCCCCACTTTCTTCAATTGAAGTCTGAATTTGGCAATAAGGAGTTCATGATCTGAGCCCCAACCTGCTCCTGGTCTTGTTTTTGCTGACTGTACAGAGCTTCTTCATCTTTGACTGCAAAGAACATAATCAATCTGATTTCAGTGTTGGCTATCTGGTGATGTCCATGTGTAGAGTCTTCTGTTGTTGGAAGATGGTGTTTGCCATGACCAGTGCATTCCCTTGGCAAAACTCTATTAGTCTTTGCCCTGCTTCATTCTGTACTCCAAGGCCAAATTTGCCTGTTACTCCAGGTGTTTCTTGACTTTCTACTTTTGCAGTCCAGTCTCCTATAATGAAAAGGACATCTTTTTCGAGTGTTAGTTCTAAAAGATCTTGTAGGTCTTCACAGAACTGTTCAACTTCAGCTTCTTCAGCATTACTGTTTGGGGCACAGGCTTGGATTACCGTGATATTGAATGGTTAGCCTTGGAAACAAACAGAGATCATTCTATCGTTTTTGAGATTGCACCCAAGTCCTGCATTTCAGACTCTTTTGTTGACTATGATGGCTACTCCATTTCTTCTAAGGGGTTCCTGCCCACAGTAGTAGATAGAATGGTCATCTGAGTTAAATTCACCCATTCCAGTCCATTTTTGTTTGCTGATTCCTAGAATGTTGACGTTCACTCTTGCCATCTCCTGTTTGACCATTTCCAGTTTGCCTTGATTCATGGACCTAACATTCCAGGTTCCTATGCAATATTGCTCTTTACAGCTTCGGACCTTGCTTCTATCACCAGTCACATCCACAGCTGGGTGTTGTTTTTGCTTTGGCTCCAGCCCTTCATTCTTTCTTATTTCTCCACTGATCTCCAGTAGCAATTTGGGCACCTACCAACCTGGGGAGTTCATCTTTCAGTGTCCTATCTTTTGGCCTTTTCATACTGTTCATGGGGTTCTCAAGGCAAGAATACTGAAGTGGTTCACCATTCCCTTCTCCAGTGGACCACATTGTCAGAACTCTCCACCATGACCCATCCATCTTGGGTGGCTCCACATGGCATGGCCTAGTTTCATTGAGTTAGATAAGGCTGTGATCCATGTGATCAGATTGGCTAATTTTCTGTGATTGTGATTTTCTCCATCCTTGCATCTCCTCATATCTAGAGAAGCACTAAATCCCTTCATGGTGACATCAGATTCTCATGACTAAGGAAAAACCCTTTTGTAAATTGAGTGCTTCATGGTATTGAACTCCTCCTTCACCCAAACCTTATATATTGACTTTCCCCCACTGCCGCTTTGGAGCAGGCTCTCAGAGCTATCTGAGATGCTGCCTCCTGGGCTGCAGTCATTTTGCCCCAAATAAAACTTAACTTGCAACTCTCAAGTTGTACATCTTTTTTTAGTCAGCAGTGACTCAGGCAGGTGCCCAGTGAACAGGCTGCTGAATGAATGAAGGGTGTGAGATCACCCATCGGGCGTGGTGTCGAGCTGGGTGCTTCTGGAAGCGGGCGCAGGCCTTCCCTTAGCTGACCAGGAGGGGAGGATGAGCAGGCGGAGGGCCCAGCCCTGAGCAAAGGGCCCTGAGCGTGGGGACAGAGTGTGGGGCCAGACCCAGCAGGGGCAGGGTACCTGCCGACCCCAGTTCAGTTCCAGGGAGATGTTCGTGGCTGCACTGTGGACGGGCGCTGAGAGCCTGGTTGGGAGGCTGCTAGGTCAGGCGTCATTATCAGTGCTGGTCCTGCTGCTCTCTGCTTCCAAAATCAGTACTCACCAATGGCAAAGAGGCAAACTCTTTAGTCCAATGCCAGCAATCTGGGGGAGGTGGTGGGCTCTCTGTCCCCCATAAACCACCTCCGGAGATTCTACTCAGTTATGAGTTTTTGAAGGGGAACAGAGAAGTAGTCTCAGTCATTGAGATAGGGGGTCAGAGTTGCCAGTAGATTTTTTTTTTCCAAATTGAAGTTCTTATTTACTTATTTATTTATGGCTGTGCTGGGTCTTCATTGCTGCGCACTGGCTTTCTCTAGTTGTGGTGCCCAGGCTTGCCACTGCGGTGGTTTTCCCGAGTCTAGTACAGACTCTAGGACACCAGGGCTTAGTCGCCCTGCAGCATGTGGGATCTCCCCAAAACAGGGATCGAATTCATGTCCCTTACACTAACTAGCAGGCAAATTCTCAATCACTGGACCACCAGGGAAATCTTATTTTTCCTGTTTAAAACTGCTGGAAAAGTGAGGGTTTCCCTGGTGGCTCAGCAGGTGATCCGCCTGCAATGTGGGAGACCTGGGTTTGATCCCTGGGTTGGGAAGATCCCCTGGAGAAGGGAAAGGCTGCCCACTCCAGGATTCTGACCTGGAGAAGTTCATGGACTGTAAAGTCCATGGGGTCACAAAGAGTCACACACGACTGAGCGACTTTCAGATTGACTGCTGGGGCAGTTCACAAAACTGATTTCAGGTAGAACTTGAACTACGGTTTGAAAAAAGTAGGGGAGGAAATGCATTAGAGATGCAGATGGTTTTTGTTTATTTACTTCTGGTCACATGGCATGTGGGGTCTTAGGTCCCCGACCAGGGATGGAACCCACACAGCCTGCAATGGAAGCTCGGAGTCTTAACCACTGGGCCACCAGGGAAGTCCTGCTGATGATTTTTTAAATCAAGTCAATAACACACACCAAAGCTTGGCATTAAAATCACATTAGTTTCTTAAAAGGTTGACAGTGGACATTAATGTCTAAATGTGGATAATTCTTAAGGCAAGTCATTTTCTTGAGAACAGGAGTAGTTTTAAAGAGTTGAGTGAAGGAATTCCCTGGCAGTCCCGTGGGTAAGTCTCCACACTTCCATTGCAGGGGCCTCAGGTTTGATCCCTGATTGGGGAACTAGGATCCCGCATAAAGAAGAAAAAAAAAAAAAAGAGTCTAGAGTGAATTGAGGAAGGCCCCATGTCCCCGTTTCTGAGATAAGAAGCAGGAACTGCCAACTGAGAGTGCTAACAGCAGGAGGGGTGAGCCTCGTGTCCGGAGGGAAGGACATGGGGTCCTGCAGGGAAACAGAAAAAGGACTGCATTTCAGAAGACTAAGGTGTCAGCAAACATCCTACAAGGGGGCAATGGCATCTTGCATTTCCTGGGAGAGATGACACCTGGCCTTCAGAGGATTTCAGGGTGAACATTTAGCTGAGACTGTGGGGTGGCCCAGCTGATGTCACTGGACTTTGGGCTCTGTCTGGGGGACCCGCCTGCCTGAGGCAGAGTCCAGTATCATGCCCACACGGCCTTGGGGCTAGGAGAGCTGCCGCCCACCCCAAGGTGGCGGAAACCTGACACCTTGGCAACCTCTTTTCTGCTCCTTCTCAGTTAGATGGTATTAGCTACATGGGGTTGCAACGAGTAGGACACGACTGTGCAACTGAACAACAGCCGTTAGCTACTTAGTAGCTCCAAATCCTAATCACTGCCTAACCCAGGTGCACGATGGACCGGTCGTGTGAACAACAATGACATCCCAAATGCCCCGACAACTGCAGTGTGAGCTGTGTGGACGTCAGCTGTGAAACGTGAAAGCATTTGCACCTGAGAATTAATGGAGCGTGAGGATCACGTGAAGTTGGGCCTCTGGAGCTGGAAAGATGGCCCGCTGGCAGCAGCCGAGGTTGCTCACCCCCAGGTACCGAGGAAAGGCAGCCCCTTCCGCCCCCTTGGTCTCCCTTCCAGTGGTGGGCCTAGGATCTGGGAGCCAGAGAGGAATGGTGCTTTGTGGGACCAGCTAGACAGAAACGAGGCAGAAAGCGAAGGCGGTGACACCCGTGTGGGGTGGCAGGCACTGCTTTACCCACTGTGCACAGCCATGTGCGAGCTTTGCACCCGTGATCCCTGCCCACAGGAGAATCTCCGTAAATATTCAGTGAACGGGTTCAACCCCAGATTTTCGTTTTCCCCTGTGAAATGAGGAGCCAGACCAGACATCAAAGGACCCTAGTGGTAGATTAACACCACACTGGCCACCAGAATGGAGACAAGGGCGGAGGAGCGGACTGACATGACTCCCATGGGCTCGGCTCCACTGGCCTGGGGGAGCTCCCGGGGCGAGGGCTGTTCTAGGCCAGAATGCAGGGGGGCCGCCCTCCCAGGTAGCTGCTGGTTCCAGGGACAGCCGACCCTAGGCAGGAAGCCCACCTTCTGAGCAGGCCCTCCCTCACCTGTGGCGCTCTACCTGCAGGTGCCGCAGCGCCACCCAGGACGCACTTTTTACTCTTGATCCACTGGGGTCGCCCTTCCAAACGATGACACGGAAGCGGGTCACCCCCAGGGGGGTCAGGGGCCGCCTGGCTGTGCGGGGAGCCCTGGATGGGAGCCCCAGAGTGAGTCCACTTAGCAGCATTCCTACTGTTTGCTGTGGGGCCACCGCAGAGACTGAGAGATTATCTGGACAGACTAGTGGCTTTCAGGCCCGCTCGTTTTCAAGGAAGATCAAGTCAGAACAGCTGCAGGCCAGGAGTGCGCCTCCCAGGGGCCCCGCCCCCTCCACAAGGAGCACTCCTGCTCCAGCACCCCGGGAGTCTGTCCCCCGCACACCACCCAGCATCCCTCCTCCCCCGTGCTCCCCTCCATCCCGCCCCTGCACACCTCCCCTCCCCTCAGGTGTGGTCTCTGGACCATCACATCAGGACCACCTGGCTGCCCACTGACGTGCAGATGACTAGGCTGCCCCGGACCTGGGGGCTGGGGCCTGGGGTCTGCACTTAACCAATTTTTCTTCATGCTAAATTGTGAAAATCACTTTGGTAGAAAGAATTAACATTTCAAATAATATACATTGTGCATACTGATCAGTAATAAAAACAGCCATCTGTCTTTGAAAATTAGGATAATCTTAAACATCAAGAATTGGTTTAATCCATTTTCATTTACTTTTACCATTTAACTTAAACTAGAATATTTAACTTTTCATACAATCTTAACTTTAAAGATGGTCACTATTTTATATGCAAAAAATCCAGACTCATCCAGAACGTGCCCATTTTTCACTCTGCACCCAGGACAGGAGCAGGGCCAGGAGGATGGAGGCCATTGGCCTGCAGTGACCTTAGGTGGCCAAGCACCGCCCCCTGATACCATGGCCCGCTCCAGGCACGGTAACTGCACTTAGGTTTTTGTTTCGTTTTACAACTTTTCCAACACAAATTCTCCTAAAACTTTTCTCTGACAGTTGAGTACCACTTTAGGACGGTTCCTGTAACTGAGTAAAGTGCAGAGAGTTTCACTCCACTCAGAACTTGAGGAGCGGAGACTGCATGTTCTCCTTGTCAGCACCGGGGCTCAGCAGGATCAGAGGGGAAGCCAAGTCTATGAGCTGCAGGAGAAAACCACACGGGCGAATGGAACGGCCGCAACCCCCTTCCTGGCCCGCAGACCCCCGAAGGACTGCCTGCGGCCCGTTCCCCCTGGTCTGGCCAAACTACTGGGTGAACTTGGCTCGGGCCTAGTGGAAAGGCACCCTGACCACCATGTTTAAGCAGCTGGAGGGAGAAAGTGGCACGCCCAGAAGAACTCTGAGCTCCTCTGGCATTTCTGCTCCTGTTAATAAGCGCTGGGGGCCGTGGCCCCGGAAGAGCTCCAGGTGAGGCACCTCCTTGGCACTCACACTGCTGAGGCTGAGGCGAGCTGAGCCACGTGGCCCTCAGAAGCCGCAATGGCCAGTCTTCTGGGTCACCGTGACATGCCTGAGCATCAAACCCAGCAGAGACCAACCAAGGCCAGAGCCAGCAGGCCCTGCTACAGCTCACCTGTCCCACCTCGTCGGGGGGCTTGGCCACAGCCTTCCTGTGCGCCTCTGGGGTGTTTGTCAGGAGGTCGACCAGGGGCCCACTTCCAGACGGCAGGGCCATAACTGCCTCGGGGCTCCTGCAGAAGTCGATGAGCGGGCGGTCATCCAGGGCTGTGGCCACAGCCTCCACGGTGAGGTTGAGTTGATCCAGTTTGACATCCACGAGGAGAGCCTGGACAAGAAACTGGACTGAAAGGCCATCCCAGCATCTTTTATCAGCTGTCTGGGGAAAGCAGGTGGGTTCTGCCTAGGCGCCAGGGGCTGCCGGTCTGTAGGCCTAAGGAAGGAGGCTGGGACGGCCCTGGTGGGCCGGGCTGTGGTGTGTGAGCACCGAGGAATCCCCTCCTGCTGCCTCCACCCCATCACCCCCTCCTGCCAGCGGCCACCATGGGAGGCCCCTCCCCTGTGAACCCCCGTCCCTGCTTCCCACCCCTCCCGTGAACCCCGTCCTGACTTCCCACCCCTCCTGTGAACCCCGTCCTGACCTCCCACCCCTCCTGTGAACCCCCGTTCCTGCTTCCCACCCCTCCTGTGAACCCCGGCCGCCCCGATGTCAGACACAGGGAGGTGCAGCTTCTGTCTCCTCCCGCCTCCCAGCTGTGGCCCGGCTGACACCACAGGCCCCAGGCCACAGGTGATGTCCTCGGTCACCTGTGGGACCCAGGAACGCACTTGTCAGCCCTGCCTGCACCCCTCACCTCACTGGGGGCTGTGGCTTCAGGGGGCTGTGCTTCGTCCAGGGCGACTTCTGCGGTGATACTTTGTGAAAAAGTAAAATCACTCTTTTCTGGAGAAAAGTCCAGTGCCTGCGGCACAGCAGACGGAGGCGAGCAGCTCCCGTCAGGGGACGAGTCAGGGCGCCTGGACGCAGGCTGGCCGTCGCCCTCCCTGGCGGGCGCAGTTCTACAGAGAGAAGAGGGCATCCATCAGGAGGCTCCACATGGCGCTCTCGTCTGCCTGTGACCCGGGAGGACCACGGCAGGAGCGGAAGCAGCACCTGGTGGACAGCGGACCCCCCATCACACCGTCACTTGAGGTTTTAGGAATTGGAGAGGAATGGACTGCAGCCTTTACCTCTTACCTCACTGTGGATTTTTTCTGGGGCTCAGAAGAGAGTCGCAGAGCAGACTCAGGCAGGGGAGAAGCCAGAGGCCTGGGCCTGGGCGTGGGGGTTGCCAGAGGGAGGCTGGAGAGCCGGCGGCCGGCAGGCGCAGGCAGGGCCGGCAGGCGCCTCGTGCTCACGGGGGTCCTCACGCTGCTGACCAGGCTCTGTGCGGCTGAGGACCACCTCACGGGAGTGCTGTGGGCCACCCTGGAGAGAAGAAAGCCTTCAGCAGAGATGAGCCAAAACAAAAGCTAAAGACTCAGCCGCACACCAACAGTGGAACACCTGTGGCTTTACTGTGACAGGCTCAGGCCAGCGAAGCCCGCTGCAGCCCCGGGTGGTGGGGGGCACGCGGCACGGGCACCAGCCCCTGGGGCCCTGCGGTGGGCTGTGGCTCCTCCGTGGGCCCATCTGAGGTTCTGATCTGGCTCGGCTGCACATTAGGGGCGGAGCCAGGAGACATTTTGTGGGAGTTCGCGGGGCGCTCTGAGGCCCCTCTTGACAGCATTCCTGTTTCCACAAGGGAGTCCAGGCCCAGGGTGGGCCGGCGGGATCACGCAGCTTCCCGGGGCGCGCCTGCTTGGAGTCTAAGGTCCTGGACCCGGGGCGAGCACAGGCGAGTGAGCCGGGCGCCAGCTTCCCCACGTGTCTCCCCTTCCCATCCTGACAACTGTGACTTCCGCTGCCTACCAACCTTGCCTCACTGCTGCTTTGTCTCATTGCTGCCGATAAAGAGAGGCTGCAGAAAATAAACTGCTATCTTAGGATAAACAAGTCTAAGACCCCCCACCAACGGGAGCCTGTGGGAGGCTGGGAGACACACACCATCTATCAGTGACAATGTGCGTGTTCAAGAAGAATCTAAAAGCAAACTCGCATCAGCACCGACTGAAAGGCAGAGTCGCCGCAGGGGTGTGAGCAGGAAGCGCTGTGACCAGGCCACTGCTCCCTGCAAGCTTCTGAAACCTGCCCCACGTCCTTCACTGAGAGCACTGGTGGCGCCAGACTCCAGCGAAAATAAAAATACAAACGTGGCCTTCAGCGCAGCGCCAGCAAGTGGGAATACTTCCCTATGGCCTGGCGAGAAAACCAAGGGAGGCGGCCAGCGGCTGTCCGCTCTGGTTTTACTCTGACCCCGCATGCGTGGTGGGGAGGTGGCCCAGCGTGGCTGGTGCTGGGAGGGGAGGCCTGGCCCAAACCCAGGAAGTGCCTGCCAAGTTCATGTACAAGCGGAGGCAGGCCCAGAGCCCTGGAGAGCCGGGAGGAGGGCCCTGGCCCCAGGGCTCATGCCGCCCGTCCCACCCCGCGGGGTCCGAGGCTGCACTCCCACCCTGCTCACGACACTGGCACCGGGCCCCTGCCCCAGGTGCGGCGTGCCTGAGGGTCGGGGGACCTCACTGCACCCCACCCCCAGCTGACGGACACAGGACTGAGGGGCCGGGTCCCCCCGCTGTGACAGCACTCAGAGCTGGGGAGGGCCAGGTGCGTGGACGGAGCTGCCTGCCCCCTCGGGGGGACGCCCTCTGTGTGGAGGACCCCAGAGTGCACGCGTGCATGGGTGTGTGTCGTGTGTGCGCACGCGTGCCTGTGCGTTTTCTTACTGTTCGCCTGGCTCCACGCCCACTGGGCAGACGAGGAAATGAGGCCAGCAACCTTCCCTAAGCCGCACGAGATGCTGACCAGGCAGCGGCAGCCCTGGGACCCAAACCCGAGTCTGAGCCAGGCCAGCAGTCCTCAGCCGCGGCACACGGGAGTCACCTGAGACCCTGCAGGCCCTCGGCTCCACCCAGACCGACCGAGCAGAACCTCCGAGGAGGCTGGGCAGTCTGGCCGGAGACCTGCACGTCAGGGCTGAGAACCAGCAATCCCGCCCGGGGGGGTCTGTGCTGCCGCCAACCTTGAGGGATACCACGGTGGCTCAGGAGACGGGGCTCAGGCCGGGCCCGCGGGGCCAGGCTGTGGGGGTCCCACACATCGGAGGACACACTCTCAGAGGTTACCAGGGACGCAGTTTGTTCCCATATGAGACAGGAAGCAGACAGATTCAGTACCTCCCCACCGATGTGCAGGACTGTGGCCTCTGCGCCCGACAGGACTTCGGCGTTGCACCATCCGGGGGTTCACCTGAGAAGAGAGCGAGTGAGCGGTCAGGCAGCCAGGGGCACCCACCTTCACCGCACAGAAAGCCTCCTCTAAGCGTCTCTGTCCTCCCAAGTTGCAGGGAAAACCTGCGGCCCCAGAGTGCGGGGGGGACTCACCCCGGGACCAGCGGGTGCAGAAGAGGGAGAGCCCTGGTCCCACCGCTGCCCTCGGCCTGGCTGGCCCCAGATGGGGACAGAGCCCTCAGCAGGTGACCCTCTCAGGTCTCCACGAGCCCCCACAGCAGGGCTAACGGGGGGGTCGGACGAAGGCTCCAGGCGGGCCCCACGGAGCCTGCCACGGCCTCTGCTCTCCGGAACTGGGACAGCCCAGGGTCATCAAAAGACACAATGGTATTTACCTGCCGTCTGGCGGCTGACAAGCGTTTCCCCGTGTGATCTCACCTGGTCATGGGGCGGCGACAAGCAGGCTCAGAGGACTGAGCCCCGGGCCACCATCCACGGGAGCGAGTCCCAGACTCACCCAGGGCCAAAGCTCAGGTACCACGCCCCGGGCAGCACCCTGCTGTCTTGGAGGCCACGGGCTGAGGCCATGACAGCCCCAGAGGGGAAGGCGGCCCGGGTCCCCGAGGAACCGGGGAAGGCCCAGGCCAGGTCTCCCCATCTCAGAGCAGCCTGCCCTGGCCCCCGTGCACCAGGCCCACCCACTGCCCCCATCACATCCCTGCGCCTCTTCACGGCAGGATCTCAGAGAGCCGCCTGCACAGGCTCATACCACCCCCCCACCTCCTGTTCCCTGTAGAAGCTGATCTTATCAAAGTGGTTCCCGCACCAAAAACAGACAACACAGGGTAAAGGCCACCCCACCTCCAACCTGTTTCCTGAGGTGCTTGCCTTCTGTCTCTGCGACTTCTTGAGACACCTCGACTGGAGCCCGGCTCCCTTGGGGTCCCCACCCCAGTCCACACGGCTGCCTGGCCCCGAGGGTTTCTGGCATCGAGTTTAAGAACAGCACACAGCCCAGCACCCTGCAGCACCCTCCCACCCCGCCTTGAGGGCTGAGAACTGCTTCCGCCTTTTGCTGGTTTCTTATTGGGTGCCCTATGATGAAACGCCCCACAACCTGTCCTTGGCAGCATTCCACGTGGTTACCTCTCAGACACCGAGTCCACACGTTTCAGGCCTCCACTTGAGGGAGCCTGCACTGACCAACAAGCTGAGAGAACCTGCCTAAACTGTCTTCCAACTTCTTTTATTCATGCCATTAAGCACAAGCTGGAATCAAGATTGCCGGGAGGAATATCAATAACCTCAGATATGCAAATGACACCACCTTTATGGCAGAAAGTGAAGAGGAACTGAAGAGCCTCTCGATGAAAGTGAAAGAGGAGAGTGAAAAAGTTGGCTTAAAGCTCAACATTCAGAAAACTAAGATCATGGCATCCAGTCCCATCACTTCATGGCAAATAGATGAGGAAAGAGTGGAAACAGTGTCAGACTATTTTTATGAGCTCCAAAATCACTGCAGATGGTGACTGCAACCATGAAATTAAAAGACGCTTACTCCTTGGAAAGAAAGTTATGACCAACCTAGATAGCATATTAAAAAGCAGAGACATTACTTTGCCAACAAAGGTCTGTCTAGTCAAGGCTATGGTTTTTCCAGCAGTCAGGTATGGATGTGAAAGTTGGACTGTAAAGAAAGCTGAGGGAAGAAGAATTGATGCTTTTGAACTGTGGTGTTGGAGAAGACCCTTGAGAGTCCCTTGGACCACAAGGAGATCCAACCAGTCCATTCTAAAGGAGATTAGGTCATCGGAAGGCCTATGTTGAAGCTGAAACTCCAATACTTTGGCCACCTGATGTGAAGAGCTGACTCACTTGAAAAGACCCTGATGCTGGGAAAGACTGAAGGCAGGAGAAGGGGACGACAGAGGATGGGATGGTTAGATGGCATCACTGACTCAATGGACATGAATTTGAGTAGACTCTGGGAGTTGGTGATGGACAGGGAGACCTGGCGTGCTGCAATTCATGGGGTCGCAAAGAGTCGGACAGGAATGAGCGACTGAACTGAACTGATACTTACGATCTGACAGTACACTTATCTGACTGCATTTCTTATCTTTAACTAGAAAAATGTAAGTTCCATCAGTAGGAGCTATCTTACCATGATGTCCCTCGTACCTGTGAGAGTGCCGCACAATGGACAACACTCCACCCACAGCTCATTCCTTCTCTGGAGCGGGGTGGGGGGAGGGGGGTTGCGGAGGGGCTCCCTGAGCAGGGATTGAACCTGCACCACCTGCCGTGGAAGCGCAGAATCTCAGCCTGTACACCAGACAAGGCCCAGAGCGGCTCATTCTCACATGAGCAGGAACTCCAGTGAACTTTTCCGGTGTTAACAGCTCCCTGAATTGGTCAGCAAAGCTGACGACTTCAAGATCCTGAAGCCGCTAGACAGCACATGCTTGAGAGAGGAGGCCAGAACCACCCCGGCCCTTCGTCAGCACTGTGTAGCCTCCTGCATGACACACGTTCCTCAGATGAACTCACCTTGACCAGATGCTGCACCTGCCAGACACCACACGGGGCTTTCTGCTCGGTGGCCCCGGCAGACGCTGTGGCAGTGGGAGTGCCCGAGGAGGCTGGAATTGGCAGCGGCAAAGGACTGGAGAGGAGGGAGTTAGAGGAGAGAGGACTAGAGAGAGAAGGCACTCTAGGAGCCCGAGAGGGACCCCAAGTCCCAGCTGTGCAGTGAGCGCCAGGCCCACCGCCTCGTCACAGGGCAGAAACACGCCCAGCAGCTGGCCAGAGGGGACACCTCGGGGACACACGGCACAGACAGAAGGGGCTCGGGAGGGCCACACCTCAGTGGCAGGGCTGAACTGTCCCGAGAGTAAAGGCTGAGACCTCCCCCACCATCAAAGCTCTAAAGGAAGCCTTGAAAGGATCGAGTTCTCCTGAAACCTAACTGCCTGTCAAAGCAAGGTTCAACTCCTTAAAGAAAGACAACCAAGTCCAGACATGCAGAAAATTTATGATGTCTAGCAGACAATAAAAAATCATTAGACATGTGAAGCAGCAGGAAAATGTGACCATAACCAGAAAGAAAATTAGTCAATAAAAACAGGCCCAAAATGATACAGAGGATAGAATCAGAACAAAGAGACTTTAGAGCAACCATTACAGATGTGTTCAAGAATTCACAGGAAAACACACACCATGAGGACAATGAAAGGGGAAACTCTAAGGTCAGAAATGAAAATTTAGCTGGATGGACTTATGAGCAGATTAGACATACTGTGGGGAAAAGAGACACGTGCACGTGGGGACATCCCAGTAGAAACGAGCCAAACAGAAGCACAAGAGGAAGGCGGGGGCAGGGCCTGAGGGACCTAGAGGACAACACGAGGAGCCTCTGATCCAAGCGACTGGAGTCCCAGGACCCGAGAAGGGGCAAGAAAACATGTCTGAAGAAACAACGGCCACATCTTCCCCAGATCCAATTAAAAACATCAACCCACAGAACAAAGGAGCTCAAGAACGCCCAAGCAGGATAAACACAAAGAAAGCCATACAAAAATATGTTAGTAACCAAAACCCTGAAAATAACAACAGAAAATCTTAAGAGCAGCCATGGAACAACAATGTGTTTACACAGAGGGGAGTAATTTAAGAAATTCACTAACTTATCCAAACCTACAAAAATGAGAAGACATATAAAATGCTTTATGAAAATGATAGCAACCACCATGACCAAAACTGATGACTATTTGAACTGTAAACATAACTTGTTCACTATTTTAAACCACGTTGAAGCGTATCTGTGACTTACCAGTGGAAAGCCTGGGAATTCTAAACTGATCCGTATGGGCAGGCACAGCCTTCACCTTGGAGCTCAGGCGGGCACCGCGCCTCACTGTGCCCCCAGTCTTGTCCCTTTCAGAAGACTGTGGCAAACCACAGTGAGAGCTCGGCCCAGGGCCTCCCTGGTCCGGGGTCTGGGGCTGGGGGAGGGCTGCTCTGGGGGGCCCCCTGGGCTGCTCCGCAGGCCGCTCCGCAGGCCACTCCGCAGCCCCTGGCCTCTGGCTTTGCCTGCAGGCCATGCCCCCGGGGCCCGCCTTCAGGGACGGCCGTGGCAGGCCATGCCCCGTTCTGCCCGTCTGGCTGGAGCTTGACCGGGCACTGTCTGCAGAGATGCCTGGACGTTCACTTGGTTTAGCTGGAAGAGGAGACAGGAAATCTGGCTGTCACTCAAGCTGATGCTGTGTTTAAATGACGAAGTTATTTAACACACACACACACACACACAAGATATGCTACCTTTAGCATATCTACCTTAGAATGTGGTAAAGAAAACGACTTATTTCTATCATGCTGATTTCCATATTAAAAAATACGACATAGGAAAAATATTCTGCATGTGCACCAGGCAACATCCTCAAACATGGGACAACCCGGGTTGCTTGTGGCTTAGCTGAGTGTGATCTAAAGCGCTAATTCCAGACATGATAGCCAAGATGTATAAGGATGCATGAACTGAAGCTCTCCTGTCCTGACTAGGTCGACAGCAGAACTCTATCCTAGCTGAGCAGGTGAAGACGGACAGTCTGGTCAGATGCTGCATCTGGCCAATCAGGGGTGTGGGCGGGGCAACACGGAGAGAGATGCGCCTTACTGGTCAGTTCCTTTCCGCCACAGGGAGGCTGGGTCCTGTCAGTCACCAGCACTATTTAAATGAGCTGGGTGAAAATACTCAGCTGCCAATACAGCCAGCAGGGAGGCCAACCTGGCGAAAGGTTCTTAAAGAGAAACTCAGCAGAAGGACTAAACCACAGCCCACGTCACACAGCGTGTTAAGGCTCACGACACTCTCCCCTCAACACTGTCTGAGCTGACCCTGGGGATTTTTGCCATGGAAAACAGAGAAACTCGCACTCACCACAAGGCCCCCCCAGCCTGTCTCGACCTTTCCCAGAGGCAGGATCAGAAATCATAGACAGAACTGGTGCTGATGCCTGAACCAACACAGCCGGATGCACAGCGCCTAATGTAACAAAACTTCGTTTCCCTGAACACGTGCCACATGACAGACACAGGGCTGGGGCATCATGTGGTCCTCAGGCCCACAGGGACACTGAGAGGGCGGTGCCACCCCCCTGGTTTGTAAAGGCACAGACGTAACTTCAGCTCTCCTAACCACCCAGGCGGCCGGGACTCCAGATCGGACCAGCCTCGCTCCAGAGGAGACTTCTCACGTTTGTGTACAAAACGCAGGCTTTCCTGCCCGGCTTAGTGGCTGCACAGCAAACCTGCTTGGAAGAGGTTTTAGTCCTTGAGAGCAGGAGGCCGCGTGCCTTCCCCAAAGCCTCCTAGGGTTTCTCCCCTTTACCAGTAGATGGCACCCTTGACTTGGAAAGACAGCAAAGTCACCTGAATTGAAACAGGTTTGAACAGATTTAAACAAACAACCAAGAGTTACGGCTCCTACGCCCTACACTATCTGGAACATCCCTACTTTTTAAAAAAAAAAACCTATGTTTGATCATGTGGCTGAGGCTGGTCTCAGCATTATGCCGGGCCCTCGGGCACCAGAAGGGCGTGCCTACCTTGTGACAGCTTGTGCTCAGTCGTGTCTGACTCAGCAACCCCGTGGACTGCAGCCCGCCAGGTTCCTCTGTCCATGGGATTCCCCAGGCAAGAATGCTGGAGTGGGTTGCCATTTCCTTCTCCAGGGGCTCTTCCCAACCGAGGGATCGAACCCACGTCTTGCATCTCCTGCACTGGCAGGCGGGCTCTTTACCTACAGAGCCACCTGTGACAGCTTAACTCAGCCGAAACTAGACCACCCGCCTGACTGCCTTTCCTCGGAGGAGGGCAGGCACCTTGGGGATGGAGGCCTCAGCAGTCTCTCTGCCCCAGACCACAGCAAGCCTTCCAGAACCTGCGACTGAGCTGAGCCGTTCTGTGAGGAGTCTGGCAGGAACAAGGCGCTCAGGGCCGGCCTTACCTCTGCCAGCCGCAGGAGAAGCACAGGCAGCGGAGCTCAGGCCCGAGACAGAAGCCGACGAGCACCTTCCCACCAGGCCACCAGCGCATCCAGGTGGCTTCAGCATGGTCTTCTTCGGCCCGGACTAAAACAGAGACTTCATTACCCACCCAAGACTTCTTTCTGCAGAAGTTGGGGTTTTCAACAGTTTACAAGTTATCATCTCGAATCAGAGAAAGGTCAAGCAGTGCTCCCGGCGTGGCCGCCAGGTTCCCCGTGTGAGGAGCGCTGGGAGCCTGTTGGCCGCAGGCGTGGGGCCTGGACCCCAGCTTGTGCAGTCGACAGCTGCAGGGCCCAGTGCGGGCAAGCTCAGCAGGTACCACCGGGGCCGTGGCACGTCCACAAGCTCACAGAGCTCAGCGCTGGGAAACAAACGGCAAAGACAAGGACGGCAGCCTCCACGCCTGTGAGGAGCTGTAGTTTTCAAAGCACCGACAGCCCATCTCCTCGGCGCACCAACCCCGCGAGGGAAGCAGGGGCATCTCTGCCGTCACACCCTGATGTCAGCTGGGGGTCGGGGGGCTGACGTTCCGCGGTGCCCACAGCTCCCCAGGGGCAGTGGCCAGGCCCTCACGTGTGCCAGGCCTGCGTGCCCTGCATTTCACCATGCTGCCCCTCCTGGATCCTGTCTTCAACCTCCTAAGCCTTGATTTTGGTCCAGACGCGTCCCACATCCTCAAAGCTGCCCCTTACTCCCTGCGCTCACAGGCCAATCCCCACTGCCCCAGCCCCGGCCAACCCACCTTGTTTGGAACTGGGAGCGACCGCTTGCCTGGGACCAGGTGGCTCCCACTGGCGGGCAGGCTGGCGACGTCCCGGGCGGTGCTGGGCTTGTCCGGGGGCATGCTGCCATGGGCGTCCTTTTCATCTTGGATTTTCATCCCGGGAGGACTAGCTGGTTTCTCTCTCGCAGGCTGAAAAATTGTAACTTGAAATGTGAGAACTGTCTAGTCTTTCACAATGTAGAGACACACGAAGGCTTCAATTAGAGGGCAGGCACCATCCATCTTCCCAACATGCAGTCCTCAATTCATCAACGGGAGAGAAAAGAATATAGCGGTTCACTTCCTCCGCCAAATTACCACAGAAAAAAATGATGATGAAGCCTGCTTCCTCATTAAAAACAGGGTAAAATAATACCGAGACAGACCATTAATAGGAGAGAACTCCTCTAGGGCTAGTCCTCAATCAGGATTCTTATTTAAGGGTGATAATGAGGAAACTGGATCTAGTTACACAAATTTTAAAATGCCGCACGGAAAGGAATCATTCATTAAATGGTCATGCCCTCTACCAGACGAGCTGCTCAGTTGCAATAAATCTTCATCTAGTACCGAAGGGCATTTTTCTTCAGCGAGCAGAGCCCAACAAAGAATAAATTCCTCACGTCTAGGTACAAGGGCGTTTGTGGAAGTAATTCATGCTTCCATAAATAACCCCTCATACCAAGAAGAGTTCGTAAGAAGCAAAAGAAGCTCATAAAGCAGTAACCGTCTTTCTCTTTTCCATCATTTTTTATATTGAGACATGCTTCACATAAGTTAAAGTCCACCATTTTAAAGTGTACACTTCAGTGGCCTTTACAATACTACCACAGTGTCCCTTGACAACATTTTTGTTGCCCCTAAAAGCAACTCCTGGCCATCAGCACTCCTTGCACCTCCCAGCCAGGTGTCCACGGATCCACCGTCTCCAGAGCATGACACAACTCGCCTGCTACAGTCACTTCCTGTAAGTGAGACAGTACAACATGGGACCTTCTGCATCTGGCTTCTGCCTGACTATGTTCCCCAGGGTCACCCATGTTTATCGCGTGTCAGTCCAGCATTTCTTCACAGCCAAAAGTATCCCAACTGCATGGACAGATCGCATTTCCCTTATCCAGTCATCAGCTGGTGGGCATCTTGATTATCCCTACTTTTTGCTTATTATGAATGAAGCTACTTTCAACAGTGCTACACAGGTTTCTGTATGGACATATGTTTTCAATTTCCTTGGGAATATGCCCAAGTGGAACATGTGGAATTGCTGGATCATGTGATAATTCTGAGTTTAACTTTTCCAGGAACCGCCCAACTGTTTTTCCACTGCGGCTGCACCACTGCACAGCCCTATGGGCAATGCACAGGGACGCAATTTCTCCACGTCCTCATCAACATTTACTTTGTTCTTTAATTCTCACTACAGCCATCCTGGGCTTTCCTCATAGCTCAGTTGGTAAATCATCTGCCTGCAATGCAGGAGACCCTGGTTTGATTCCTGGGTCGTGAAGATCCCCTGCAGAAGAAAATGGCAACCCACTCCAGTATTCTGGAGCCCGGTGATCTGCAGTTCATGGGGTCACAAAGAGTTGGACATGACTGAGCGACTAAGCACAGAACAGTTGAAATTACATCACAACCCCAGCCCTGAGTCTATGTGTCACACACACAAATCCAGGCCCAAGTTCAGTGGTGCACATGGACCCACGCTGCTGTCATTCTGGAAAAGTCACTTCAGAAATGTACATCCAAACGACCTCCAGGAAGAGGCATTTGCATGACTACATGACAGCTTCAGCCCTGGGGAAGCAGAGGCCACGTGCCCCCTCGAAGGGTCTCCGTGCAGACCCCGGCCAGCCCGGTTCAATTCTGGGTTCTGCTAGCAGAAGTCGTGGGGGTCAGAAGCTGTGCTTGCGGAGGGAAACAGATTTTCTCTGCCCGTGCTGGGTGTTTTGCACTGACCTAACCCTGCTGACAGCCCTGCAAAGCAAAGCATCTCTCTAATTGGCTGGGAGTGCCAAAGTTGGCGGCCAGAGCCGTGGAGCTTGGGACGGTGCAGGGCAGGCTCCCGGCTGCTCCCTTGCCTCCCCTGGGCTACCGCCCCGCCCTGAGCTCAGAGCCAGTGAGGCAAACCCAGGAGGCGGCCACAGCCTGACCCCATCCTGCTACTCATGAGCCACTAGGACCCCCAGCTTCCTGGAGCTGGCTGGCCACACCCCAAAGGCACACGTGTCCCCCACCACATCCCAGGGCAGCGCCTCCACTCATGTCTGGGAGGAAGGCAATCTAAACACAGTCACGGTTCAGAGGGAGACTCATGGCCATCCAGGAGGGGGATTAGGGGAAGAAGCTGCTTGTTAATGCACCTAAAATCCCTAATGGGGGGCTGGGGGAGGTTGGCGAGGGGGAATGTCCAGTGCTGTAACAAAACGAAAGGGAAGATCTCAAACGGAATGGAAGGGGAGGTGTCCTTGAGTCACCACAATAGGGACGCAGCCCTGCCCACGCCACCCCGGCCTGGCTCCGAACGCCACGGACATAGCTCCTTCTAAACATCCCACGCCTGCACCTCAGAGCCCTCCCTCCGAGCAAGACATTCCCAGGTTCCCCCCACAGTGGTCTGTTCCAGGGCATAAACCCACAGGGCGCGGAAGCAAGGCAGCATCTGATCCTCAGGTAAAAGTGCTGGTGGGGCTGGGGGGGGCTACCTTCTCCATGGCCGAATGAAGGCTCTTTCCTCGAAGGGACGAGGTTCGGGGTGGCGGCAACTTGCTGGCAACCTTCTTCTGAGCCCCGGCCTGGTTCGGAGGCTGAGCAGCACTGGTCTCTGCTGGCAGAGAAGGGCACGAGGCGGGTGGCATCCCCGAGGTCTCGGGGCGGCTGGCCTGGGCAGGAGAGGCTGGCAGGGCTGTGGTGGAGGCGGGCTGAGTGCCCCGGAGCAGAGGTGCCCTCCAGAGGCCGTCCGACAGGCAGTACGTCTCCCGCTTAAGTGACTTGGGGCTTTTCTTCATTTCGTTTTCTCTATCAAAGAGGTTTATTTTGAGTTTTGACTCCTGTATGAATCTTTCCACTCCCTGGCTCCCAGGGTCTTCGGGCTGGGCGGCCTGGGCCGCCTTGGTTCTGCCGTTGCTTTGTATCTGGAAGGCCAGTAAGTGAGCTTCTTTATAAACTTCCACAAACTTTTCCCCTGTGAGTGGACTCCAGGTGAAGTGTCTTTCAGAAGCTGGCAAAGGAGGTTCTTCGGGAATTTGATTATTTAATTCTAAGCTGGCAGCAATACATCTTTCTTTATGGCCAATAGGTCCAAAAAAGACTTCATCATCTTCATTGGCACTATTTTAAAAGAAAAGGATTAACAACAAACTGGCATTTACATGAAAGACTTGACTGAACGTGGTTACACCAAGGCAAGGGGAGAAAACTCATCTTTTTTACCTTGAAGAAGACAACGAAAGGTCGAAGTCAAACTTTTCATCAGCCAACAGAAGAATGTCTGGGGAGGAAAAAGTCAGCCGTTACCTTAGGGGTGGGCTGATAATGAGAAAACATCACCAGTCTCCACAGCGATCAAAACTCTTCTCAAATTTCACTTCTCCAAGTGTGACATCAGTATTGTAATAATCACATTTTCTCAAGGGGCTCTAGATTATCTTAATTTTTCCTTAAAAAAAAAAAAATAGCATCAACCATTCTGTGTTCGCTAAGCTGCCATCAAAGCCCAAGTCCTTGTTTTTAAGCCCTAAAGACATGATCTAAAGTGCACTCACTGAGTCATTCGATTAGCTTTGTAAGACTCGCTCAGTCATTTTCTGGTACAGAACATTTTCAAAAGACCACCTGCTTCAGCTCCCCAACTCCCCATTTACAGACTACACCTAGTCCTCTTTCAAAAGCAAATTTAACGCTCCTCACAGGCAGAGTAGGGGCTCCATGCACACCTGAGGTCCATCACCTCTCCCTGGAGCCCATCCCGATAAACCATAAACCGCTGCTGACATCCTGTGTACACAGGGCCTTCGCCAGCCCTGACGGCCCAGGGGCCTCTGGGCGAGCACACCACTGGGCTGGGGCCACCGCTCCCCGCCCGCCTCCCTTAGGGCTCCCTGGGGCTCCCACAGCCTCGGACCCGACCTCGGCCTTAGCATCCCCATCCTGTACGAGCGTCTCAACCTTCTGTGGCCCCAACTAGCCTGAAGGCTCCTCCAAAACAGTAAGTGTCTAGTTCTCTCCCAAGCTCCCCAAAGTCCACCTCAAGGTCTGGACACTTAGCAAATATTTCTCAAAATGCAATGAACTGGGGATTCCCTGGTGGCCCAGTGGTTAAAAGTCTGCCTAAATCAACACTAAGCAACATTAACCAACAAGTGAACAAAAGGAAAGAATCTGGCGGTTAAAACTGCTGCAATGGACAGATGCTATGATTACATACAAGAAATATCAAGAAAATCAACTGAAAACTATTATAAATTGTGAAAGAGTAAAAGCAAACATCTGAGGACAAAATTGTTACACAACAAATCAACAGCTCTCATATCTAAAAAGAACAGAAGATATAATGGAAGAAAAGACCTCATTTACTATAGCACCAAAAAATGCAAAGCACCTATGAATTAACAAGAAATATGCAAGATGGATCTAAAGAAAGTTTAGTATATCATAAAAGTAACATATAAAGTAAAAGAGGAAAATGCATTATTCAATAAATGGTATTGAGACAAACTAGACAACCCTTTGAGAGGGAGAAATACATGCATCTGACGTTTGAGCCATAGCTCACAGACCATACCAGGACAAATCCCAAAAAGGTCAAAGACTTAACTGAAAAAAACGAAACTCCAAAAGAACAAGAAACCATGGGGAAATCCCTGTATAGCCTGGAGTGTGGAGGTCTGACACCAAGCTGGAAGCCATAAAACAACAGGTTGATAGTCCAATACATTAAACATTAACATCTCTGTATCACAAAAACCACCACGAGCAAAGTTAGAAGCAACAACAGACAGGGAAGGGAACACACGCGGCTCACATCATGAAGGGCTGCTGGTGAACACTCCTACAGACTGCAGGCAAACAGCTGACACGGGAGGAAGAACGGGCAAAGGACATGCACAGAGGGAAGTCACAGGAGATAAAATGAAACGTTCTGAAACATATGACCAGTTCAGTCGCACTCAAAAACAAGAGCAACGAGAAACTCAGAGATTCCCAGGACTCCAGTTTTCATTGCTATGATTGTTAAAAATCTGAAAGTTTGGTTTGTAAGCTACTGCAGCTCTACAGAGGGTAGCCTGACAGTACCCACCAAGAAAGACACGCACACACCTTGACGGGACGCCTACTGCTGTCAAGGACCCCACCCGGTTTACTGCACTTGGAACAGCAAGATACCAGCCACTAGCTAAGTTAGAGTTCCCGGATGGCAGGTAAGCGGACAGCACATCCCCACAGTGGAACGGAACATGACTTGGGCTCAGAGAACAACAGTAACACTTCCTATATTGATACACAGAGCTCATCAAGATAAATTAGAGGCAAAACCCAAGATGGCACCTAGGGTTCTACATGCTATAGAAGAGGGGGTCTGGACTGACAGGTACTACCTTGCACGTGCACAAGTCAGGTCTGGACTGCCCAGGAGACCAAGGAGATCGGTGGTCTCTGGAGGTGGTAACCGGGCAGCGGAGGGACAGAAAGGAGAAGAAGATGGACTTCTCACTTTTCAATGTGTCTAAAACCTAGGAAGTCAATTTCATGGGTCACTACCAGAAAATTCCAAACGTCTGCTGTGGGAAAAGGAATCCTGGGCCAGGAGTCAGGGGAAAAGCCTTCCACGCCGGGCTCCGTCACCGGCTCAAGGTGACTTGGGTGAGCTGTCCCGTTCATCCACTCTGCAAACACGGGCTGCGTCCTCTGCAAGGCGCTCCGCACACACCGTGAAAGGCAGTGCGGGGAGGGGCCACCGGGATGTGGGGACACCTCTGAGGCCACTGGCAGGAGGAGGTGGAAACACAGGTCAGGTCACATCCTGGGTGGCGTCCAAGCCATGGCAAGCTTTTAGATTATTCAGAGTGCAATGGGACCTACCAAAGGGTTTTAAGCAGAAGACTGTTGTACTCTAACTTTTGTTTTTAAAAGGCTACCCTGGTGGATGTGCTAGAAAAGAAGCAGGTGGTATCTACTGAAATTACAGTGCACACATTGGCTAAAGTGCAAAATATACATGTAGGTGGAGGCAAATTACTATGGCTGAGACCAAGGTGGTGGCATTTGGGTGGAGCTGGAAAGACATATATGGAGCCAAAATATACAGTGGAAATGACAGTAATTGATGACTGAACAAATGCTTCATAACTTTCTCAGCTGGGGAATGGACCAGGCAATTGACTTCTGTTACAGAGACAATAGAGAAGAAAATGGCCACCCACTCCCAAATTCTTGCCCGGAGAATTCCATGGACAGAGGAGCCTGGTGGGGTACAATCCACGGGGTCACAAAGAGCCAGACAGGATTGAGTGACTGAGTTTCTTTTCACTTTTCACAAAGACAAAGAACCTGCCAAGAATGGGGGACCCGCTGAGTAAGAGGTGGGAGACATTCACGTGAAGACGCCAGCCAGCCAGGTGCATGCACAAGCCCAGAGCTTAGAGGAGAGTTTGTGCTCCAGACAAAACGTGGGCAGCACCAGAAGGTGGAAGAATTTAAAGCCATTTAAAGCAGAAAGATTTAAAGCCATTTAAAGTGAAAGGATTTAAAGGACTGTCTGAGAACCTGTAGGAGGGGAGGGGGAATTCAAAGAGACCCCAGACCAGGTCCTGGGGAGCTCAACTTCGGAAGGTGGGACAGAACGAGAAGCCTGCAAAAAGATGGAGATATACCGGCCAGAGTGTGCAGAAGGAAAAGCAGGAAGCCAAGCTGGCCAAGTTTCCCGTAGGAGAAAAGGCCAAAAGTCACGGAAAGGGCAGAAAAAATGACCATTGATTTCACAACACAGATGTGCTCAGTGACGGACAAAGGCAGTGTGGGTGAAGTGAGAGGGCAGAGAGGGTTCGGAGGGGTTGAAGTTTGTGGGAAAAAACAGCGAAACAAGTGGAGAAAGTTCTTGCTCTGAAGTCTGGCTCTAAATGAGGCCCACAGCAGTGGAGAGGGTGTGGAGCGACAAGTCAGACCACGGGACCTATTCGTACATCAGTGATGAGCATGAACAAACAGACAAGAAAGATATAAAAGATATAAAGGATGGATGACAGACAGGTGAAGCCCTCAGGAAGCAGCAACAGGGATTCAGCTGCACGTGCAAGGGACTGGAAAGGGAGGGCGTCTAGGCGAGGGTAGAGGACAGGATGCAGCAGCAAACGCTGTTCTAGACCCGAGGAAGCAGCGCTGATACTGGCAGTCTTGGGGCTGTCTGTGCAGAATGGGGGTGTTAAGGAGAAACAGGGGTCCCCAGTCTCCCTGACTTGCACACATGTCATGAAGACAAAGGATATAAAGGATGTCCCCACGCTTCAGCAGAAAAGGAAGGCAGGGCCCTTAACTCCTTTTGTGAGGCTGTGGTCTCACTTCCACATTCACAGCAAACAGGAACAGAACAAGACAGCAAGGCTACAGGACAGGTCGTCTCGCGGATGTGCAGGCAAAGATCCTGGACAAGTCTCAGCAAACGGACACCAGTGACCAGCCAAAAGGCATCAGTTCCACAGACCTGAGTGCCTATGGAATGTGTCAGGCTCTGCAGACACTGAAGTATACAGAACGGAGAAGAATCCCTGCTCCGCGGAAAGTCACAAATGGGGGGTAAAGGGAATGTAGAATACCCGGAAAAGAAGCAAATTAGAGGAATGCAAAAACTCCGGGAAGACAGGGAGTTTACTGGGGCACAGAGAACGGGATGAGTACTGAATAAATAAACGAGCCAGTTCTCTCAGGAGCATTAAATCGACCTGCGTGTTCCCTGAGACCCCCGGGCCGACAGCGCTGCGGAGACTAGGACGTACCTTCCTTCTTGGGAGCCTCCATCTCCGCTTCTTGAGGGGGCCAGGCAGGCTGAAGGCACCTCGCTGCCGCCCCTTTATTCCGCGGCCAGGGTTGTCAGAGGTCACAGCAAGGAGCAGGAGGCAGAAGCGGGGCGGGGGTCGGAGCCCGGGTTCCTCCAGCCCCCCAGGGAAGCCCCCAACGTGCGCGCCGCTGTAGCACCGGCTGGGCAAGAGAGGGCGAGTCAGGGAGAGGCCGCGAGGCCGGCAGAGGCCACTGTGTCAGGGAGAGGCCGCGAGGCCTGCAGAGGCCACCGCGGCCGCAGCCCAAGACCCTCCGCCCTGGCCCGCTCGCCTCCGGGCCGGCGCCGTCCGAGGCAGGCCCGAACTGGGGCCCCGGACCTGGACAACCAGACCTCCCCGGCTGGGCTTCACGCCATGGGTCTTCGGCTTGAAGAAGACCTCCTTCAGCCTCGCCGGAGCGCGGGAGGGGTGCCCCGCCGCCCCCGGCCCGAACGCCCGACCTGGCCCGACCCCACCCTCCGAGGACCCCTGACCGCCGCCCACTCACACAGCCGCACCCCAGTCGCCCGACAAGCCCCTTAGGCCAGAGCCGCCGCGACACCCGGCCGACGCGCCTGCGCCTTAGGTTTAAACGCGGCGCGCAGGAAGCGCTGAGGGCTGTTGATTGGCCGGTTTGAAAGACCGCGGGTCCCGGTGCACCCTGGGGGTTGTAGTCGGAGCCGCAGGGGGGCGGGGAGGAAAAGGAGGGCGGCGCGCGTGCGCACTGCCTCGGCTCGCTGCGCGTGCCAGACGTCCGGCCAGAGCCGGGCCGCGCGGGGCTGGGTACCTTAGGGCTCGCTGGGTAGGCTCGGCATCAGGACAGCTACGTGTCGCGTGGGACATGGTTCCGACACCGGATCTTCATCCTTAAATGAAGCTCCAAATCCCATAGTAGGAAATAGGTGCGTATGCCCGCTTTGTAGACCACTGCGGGTTCGTGCTGGGGGTAAGAAAACCCGGTCCCTGCCCGCGGAGCGCCCGGTGACTCTGGGTGACCAGACACCCTAGAGTATGCCCCTGGGCCACCCTGACACCTCGTTCCTATTTAGGGGCTCCCTCTGCAGCCTTCAGCCTCGCTCTTTGCGGTCCCCTTCACTTCTGATGTGCTGGATACCCACCCCCTTGACCCTCCCTGAGCCTCTGTCCACCGGCTCCCTTCTGAGTTCCGTCATCTGTTCAGGATCCTACTTAACTGGAGAAGAGAGATGGGGCCAGACAGACCCAAGGCAAATCCCAGCCTCAGATACTGGTCACGAGCCTCGGGGTTGCAAGTAACAGAAGACCAGCCTCAAGCTGGCCTCAGAAAAAGAGTTTATTGGCTGGACCTGGAAGTCCAGGAACAGCCCTGGCTGCAGGTGTGGGTGGAGAGAGGGGCTTGAAGGAGGGCACCAAGTCGAACTGTCTCCCAGCAGCCTCTCTGGGTCTTGCTCAGCTTCCCACGGAGGCTTTGTTGAGCCCACCCACCCAGAGGCTCCCGGCTGCCGTCTGCCTGCCAGGGCTTCCTGAAGACGGTGGCCGGCTTAGTGTTGCGTGTGCTTAGTCCACAGTCCTAAGGCCTGGCTTTGCCTAATTCATGACCACAGGGCCACGGCGGCAAGGGCCCAGTGGGTCCTAGACTCAAGGGGTATTCAGCCAGGTGTCAGATCCACACAGCCCTGGGGGTGTCTGCTGCGGGCGAGGGCCCCCAAACACCCACTCCCGATGCCCCTCCCCCGTATCATGTCAGCACGTGAGACTTGGTCAGTGAACACACTGTTAATAACTCATGGCAGCTAACTGAATTCTACCTTCATCCATCTCTTCTCTTAGGCCCCTCCTCTCTTCTGTCAATGGCCTACCCACTGTCGATTCTTTTCTTCCTGTCCCCAGTAGGATTCTGCTTCATTTTGTAATGCACTCAAGGGCTCATTCACCAGTCATGGGTTCACTGACAGGTAGTCGGGGCGGGTTCCGTGCTGGGTGATGCTGGGACACAGATGTTGTCCCTGACCTGGGGAGGGCAGAGGTGGGGAGAAAGGTGCAACAGCAAGGACTGTGGGGCCCCGGGCTGCAGTGGGAGGCCGGAAGCCTTCCTGGAGGAGGGGGCCAGGGTTCCTCCTCCCCTGGCCAGGCTGTAGCTTGCTTGGAACCAGGAGACGGGATGGTACACGGGGTGTGAGCAGGGGAACTGGGAGGGAGGGACAGGTCAGAACGGGTGGGCAGGCTCCCCTCGGGACGTGTCACTAGCTCCTGGGGTCAGACAGCATCTCTCTTGAAATCCCGTTGTAATGACTCTGCTCTTGACTCACTGCCCTGCTCCACCCCCACGTTCAAGGAGAAGCCTGCCTTCCCAGGACCCAGCCCAGGCCTGGCACATGGAGGAGGCTCAGAGGTGCCCACCCAGTAACAGTCAGGCAGAGGAACCAATTAACTAGTTTATTTTAATCCCAGGAAATGTGTCTAGTCAATTTAGAGGTGTCTGCTGCCTCCCGGAAGACCTGCCCCCCTCCCTGCCCCCGTGAGTCCCTACCCTAATTTCAGTTTGCACTGAAGGAACCTAAGAAACACCAGTGGGCTGAGACTGCCTCTCACAGCACCACCGAATTGGACGTCAGGGCCGGGTTCTCCTTGGGGAGGGAGACAGAGGCAGCAATTGTAAAACTGGCTCGGATCTTGTTAAAGCCACGTCACAAGGCTTTGGTTTCTGCCTCTGCGCTCAATCCTCAATCCTCAGAAGGCACAGCAGACCAACGAGTGTGCATACGTATGGTTAAAATCATGGTTGACAAAAATAATCAGCAAGGACCTACTGCAGAGCGCAGGGAGCTCTACTCCACAGTCTAACAACCTAACCGGGAAAAGAACGTAAAAAATAGCAGACGTGCGTATGTGTAACTGAACCACGCTGCTGAAACTAACACAACATTATAAACCAACTATACTCCCGTGTGAAGCAAAAATTTTTAAGAATCATGGTTGACAATGTGCAGTTTAGAATTAAGAGAAAATCAACCCAAATCAGCGCCACTAAAGCCCCAAGGGAAGCTTGCAGGCGTCTTTGCAGACACAGCAGAAGGGCCGAGGGCCCAGGCACTGAGGTGGGGGCCCCTCTCTCCCAGGAGGCACAGGGCCCCCACTAGTTGGGACCCTGGGCAAGTCACTCCCCACCATGGGTACCCTCACCCAAAAGGTGGGACAACAGAACCTTTCCAGAATATGGAGAGGAAGGCAGAATGATGGGGTTTATCCCAGGGGCAGCCTAGAGTGGGGAGAGGGGTGCCTCTAGGGCTGGGTAGGAGACTCCCCTCCCCGAGCTGAGCCCACCACCACCCCACCCCTGCCTTCCAACCCTTGAACAACTGGGAGGTGTAAGGCAGGGTCCCCTGGGAAAACAGTTTTTGAGGCAAGTGGAACAGCAGCCCCCACCTCGGCTCTGCTTGAAACCGCACCATGGCCTTGAGCGAGGATTAGAAGAATATTTGGAACCATGCTGAAAATTGATTTCTGCCCCTTCTTCCTGTAACGCTGATGGTTACAGGGCCTTCTCCTTTACAGGCCTGGCCACCTGTAACCCCACGAAGCCAATGCAGCAGCCAGTCTGAGGGCCACGGAGGCCCTGTGGGGCGGGCAGCCAGGCTGGCTCACTACAGGAGGTGGACGGCGGCCGCCTTGCGGATGAGCCTGGCGGTCAGGGGGGAGTTGGGCTTTAAGGCATCTCGCTCCATCAGAAGGCTCCTGGGGAAACAGAGACAGGGTCGGTGCTGGAACCTTCTAGAAGCTGGGAGACGGATGTCTCTCTACCCCAAGGCAGGACACAAGCAGCATGGGCCAAGGCTGAGCTGGCAGAAAGCAAGATGCCCCCTCACCCAGTGGTGGAAGGAGGAGCTGGCATCACAGCCCAGGGGACAGGTGGGACCAAGGTCCAGAGGCAGGAGACGGGGCCTTGGCAGGGGCAGGGACCAGGCAGCAGGTGGGCAGCGCTGTGAGGCTGAGAAAGCCTGGGCTCCCACCCCGTGTTTTCATGCTGGCCCAGGCCATCGGTGATTGGAGAGCACCCTGGCAGTGTTCCAGTGATGCCCAAGTGCACAGCGTTTCAGGGTGGGCACAGCCCTGTGGCCTCACCTACCCCTCGCCATAAGGAGTGCCTGGACCAGAGGGTGGGGCGTGACTGGAGACGGGGGGAGGACCATGCCTGAGAATGCTGGAAAAGACCCTGATGCTGGGAAAGACTGGGGGCAGGAGGAGACGGGGACAACAGAGGATGAGAGGGTTGGATGGCATTACCGACTCGATGGACATGAGTTTGAGCGGGCTCCGGGGGTGGGTGATGGACAGGGAGGCCTGGCGTGCTGTAATCCATGGGGTCACAAAGAGTCGGACACGACTAAGCGACTGAACAATAACAGCAAGCCTGAGAATGTTCTGGGAAATCAAGCGGCCAAAAGGATGGTGAGGGGAAAATTCCAGCTTTCAACAAGGGAGGGTAATTTAAGACAAAGACCCCCCCTCCCCAAACAACTGGCCATAGTGATCCTTTGCATGGAGGGCGGGGTTAAGGGGCTGGGCCTGGCACTGGGGGTGGTGACACCATGTCAGGGGCCGAGGCTTTCTGCTTTGGAGGGGAGGGGCGTTGAGCAGCGTGAGGATGCCAGGAGGGCACCTGGAGGGGGCGCGCCTGGGACCCCACCAGCAGCGAGCTCCCCAGCACGCCCAGCGTGGACCACATCGTGCCCCCAGCTGACCCTGGCTCCCCTGCTCAAGGCCTTGCCCGCCTCTCTGTCCACAGGGCCCCACCCTCCCTGCCCAGCTGCCACCAAGCCTGGAGCTCCCCAAGCAGCTCCAGCACTAGAGAATGTGTGTGGCTTTGCATGTGGCCGTGGGGGGCTGACAGAGAGGGCCATGCGTCCAGGGTGCTGCAGCGTATAACCAGGTCCTGTGTGTCTGTCCACACTCGTGGGACACAGCGTCCGTGCCTGTGTCATCAGCGCCGCCAACGCCCGCTGCTCGGTTTGGACCCGCCACTGGGGAAACTGGGCCTTGCCTGCCATGGGCTACACGGACTCTGCCCCATCCACCGGGCCTCTAACCTCCAGAGTCCAGCAAGGGCCTCCGTGGCCCCCTGTGCAGTCTGGACTTGCAGCAGCAGCTTCACAGGGCCTCAGGACACCCCATCTGCCCACCCGGCACCCCGGCTCCCCTTTCCCCTTGGCGCTCCAGCTGGCCAGGAGACTTGGGCGGGGAAGGGGTCTCATCTCACCCCCGGGGCACCGGGGCTGGTGGGGCTGAGAGGAGCCAGGGGTGGAAGCACGGAGCCTGCGGCAGTGGCTGTCTTCCCAGAGCTTTCTTCCTGGGGTGCCCCCACCCCAACACCCCCAATCCTCCAGCTGCACCCCTCCTCCTGAGCAGATTACCTCTGAGGCGGTTAAACCTGCTTGGTCTCAGGAGTCCCTCTGAATGTCACCTCCACAGGCACTCTCCCGCCCTGACCCCCCGTCCACTCAGCGTCTCCATCACGGCATCCTGGACAGCGTGCCCATGCCCACAGCATTTTCACACGCATTTGTGGGATGAATCGCTTACTCCCTGCAGGAGACGGAGGCTCCTCGCAGCCTCGGCTGGGGCCTACCCACCCACCTCTCCACCTGGCACCTGGCACAGTCTGGCAGGACAATGTGTGGCAGGACAGTGTGAGCCAGGCCTGAAGGCTCAGTGGGTGGGTGCAGGAGAAGGAAGGACGTCCCGGGCAGAGGGCAGCACGTGTGAAGGCCCAGGGGCCTGCAGGAGTAAGGAGCTCAGCGTGGCCAGGACAAGGAGTGCGCTGGGGGGGCGGGGCGGGGGGCGCTGAAGGCAGGGCCCACGGTCCCTTTGGTCGAGTTGAAGATGCTCAGAGGGGAGAACCAGGCACCCTCGGGGCCTCGTATTTCTGCAGGCTTAGAGACGGGCACCACCTTGGTCCAAGGCAGGTGGGAGCCTCTGGGCCCCTGGAAGTCCAGGGGGACCCCCGAGTGAGAGGGGCTGGGCTCTGGACCGGAATGAGGAACTCACCGGGCCACGTGCTTGTGGAGGCCAGACGAGCAGTTCAAGGCCGCGTGAACCAGTAACTGGTTGAAGACGTCTCTCTGAAAGATGCATTGGGCACGTGAGACCCCGTGACGTGGGACGAGGGTGGGGACTCCCTTCCCCACTGCAGGCCGGCCAGACCTCAGGGACAAGCTCACAGGGGTGTGAACTACAAGGACCCTCCCACCCCACGGGCGCCCACGCTGCACGGAGACGGGGGCTGCGGGGTCCAGGGGCTCCTGGCCCCAGGGCCCTCGCGTGACACATGCGAGGCTGGGGCTCACCTGGGCGTTGCTGCCTCCGATCTGGACCAGCCGGTAGCGGATGGGCAGGAGCAGCTCCACCACGCGGTCGGGGCTCCCGTCCTGGGCCTCCACCAGGGCCTGGCACAGGGGCAGCCCCACGTCGCGGGCCAGGAGGTGCTGACAGTTCTCCCCTGGGGACCTGCCGGCCCGAGAGGGTGCCCTCAGCCCTGTGCTGCCCCTGTGACGGCGCATTGGTCTCCCACCTGACTCAGGTCCCTAAGAGGGTGGCCTCCTCCTCAGCCCAGCGTAGGGGCTTTGATCAGGTGGGCTGATGGAAGGACAGGCCACCAGGGACGGGAGAGGACAGGGTTCTCAACTCAGTTCAATGGCGCTGTGGCCTCGGGCCAGTGCCCCAACGCCTGGCCTCAGTTTGCTCATCTGTAAAATGGGAGTAGCAGAGCCGACCTCGCAGGGAAAGCAGGTCAAGGCTGGTACTGGAGCTGGTACCACCCCTGGACTGAATGCACAGCTGGGGCGGGCCTCATCTTCCCAGGGCCCTCAGGAGGTGGCCGATCGGGGTCATGAGGGCTAGGGCCTGAAGCTATGGCCAAAGCGCCAGGAGGAGGGGCATGGCAGGTGGCCGTGGGTGTCACCCTCCCCTGGGCAACAGGGACAAACCGCCAGGGCTCCCAGTCTCTCAGCTGTAGCTCTCCAGTCAGGAGACCAGGGCTGGCCATGTCCCCGGTGGCCTGTACTGTGCCTCCCCAGACTCTGTGGCCCCTGCTGTGATTGGGACCAACTCCCAAGGCGCCAGGAATGGTGCAAGGGATGTCGCCACGTCACTGCCCCCATTCTCCTACCAGCCTGTCCCCCCAGCTGAGGAAATAGGCTGAGAGTAGAGAGCTGAGACCCTGTAAGGGACAGTCCTTCTGGCTCCAGCGCCTCCCCACCTCCCCTGGTGCGACACTGACCTTGACCGTGAGGCCTACGGCACAGAGACTGCTCCGTGTCCCGGGTGGGGAGAAGCAATTGTACCCTCGAAGGGCACGCCCCGCGGGGACGCACACCTGGGGGAGACTGAACACCTGGGGCACACACCTTCGGAGGGTGCATGTCTAAGGGCGCCCCTGGGAGGAGCCCTCCGTGGGCGTCCGTGTGGCTGTGCTCTCTTGGGGCCTCCCCCCCAGCCTCCCAGCAGGCAGAGGCGGTCTGCCCGCGCCGCCCCGGCCCTCCACGTACTCGCCGGCATCCCGCAGGGTGGTCAGCAGCTCCTGTGTGGTCTGGGTGTCCCCCGCGCCCAGCGATGCCATCAGGAAGTGTGCGTCGTTGAAGAGCAGGACGTGGTCTCGGCTGTGCTTCCGGGTCACAGACAGGACGTCCTGCCACCGCTCGCCCACGGAGACCCCTGGGGACATGGGGGGACACCCGCGGGCCTGGCGTGAGCGCGGTGTGCACGAGCTCTGGCAGCCACAGGTGGCTCCAGGTGAGGAGGCCCCGTGAAGCTGGCAGGCAGCATCTGGCCTCAGGCTTAGGCCTTTGGGCCTGGCTTACGTTAACTTTGTTTAATCATAAAAGCAGCAGGTGGGTAAGATAGAAAGCAAATCAAAATAATAAAAGCTATGGAAGGGTGTTCAGTGAAGTCTCTGGCCCCTTTTGACAAACCCCAAACCACTGTAATGGAGAAGGAAATGGCAACCCACTCCAGTACTCTTGCCTGGAGAATCCCATGGACAGAGGAGGCTGGTGGGTTACAGTCCATGGGGTTGCAGAGAGTCAGACGACTGAGCCACTGAACAAAACCACTGTAGAAGTTCGTCTTGGGGTTCTCACTGGGAAGGCCCCGACACAGGGCAGGGGCCAGTCAAAACCTGCGGAACTCATAAAGGGCATCCTTTAGGTCTTCCTTTGGGCCTTCCCTGGTAGCTCAGATGGTAAAGAATCTACTCGCAGTGTGGGAGACCTGGGTTCAGTCCCCGAGTGCGGAAGATCCCCTGGAGGAGGGCATGGCAACCCACTCCAGTATTCTTGCCTGGAGAATCCCATGGACAGAGGAGCCTGGCGGGCTACAGTCCATGGGGCTACAAAGAGTTGTCGCAAAGAGTCGGGCATGACTGAGCAACTGAGCACCCCTTTGGGTCTGGATTTCCAGCTGGAGCCTGTCCCTCCTTCTGCTCTGCTCTCCCACACCATCTCCCCTCCCATCCCTCATGGATCCTGCAAGTTACCCGACTCCCCCTCCTGCTCCTTGCGGTCCTCCCGCGACCCCATGGCTGCCCAGACCTCCGTGTCTCTGCCTGTCAAGTGGAAGCAGCCTGGAGGCTCCATTCTGCGGTGAGGAAGTGAGTGGCCTTCCTCTCCCTTCCCTGGCCCCGCGGCACCCCGATGGGGCCTCCCAGCCTCCAGGCCAGGGCCCAGCCCTTCTGAGCCCCTCCTCACGGGCATTCGGGGGGCCCAGGCTTGAGGCCTGGGCTGGGCCTCCACAGGTGAAGGGTCAACGGGATCTCAGGGTCAACAGGACTCAACTTCCCCTGGCCCTCCCCTCCCCACCCAGTTCTGGAGGGTTTTGGCTGAACAGACACAGGCCCCCACCGGCCGGGTTCTGGGGTCCCAGCCCAGTCACTTGGATGGCTCCTCGACGATGCCCTGGCCTCCAGCCTGGCTGCCCCTGGCTCAGCCCAGCTGCTGGGCGGAACCTGATCAGCCTGGCCCCACGGGCCCTCCAAGACCCAGACAGAAGCAGCACTTATCACCCTCCGTCCCTGCCCCTTAGCCTTCTCCACTCCATGTGAGCCGTGGGCCATGTCTCTCGCTCGTCCCTGGAACAGGCCACCGGCTGCCGTCCTTGGGGCACTGGATAGGCCGCTCCCTGCTATGATGCCCTTTCCCGCCGCCCCTTGGCAAAACCCTATGCTCCTTTTGTGGCTTCCATCTCACCTCCTCTAGGAAGCCTTCCCAGAACCCTCTAGAAACAGCCTCATCCCCACTCTGTCCCGCTGACCTGGGCCCTAGAGTGGGCAGAGGAACCTGCTGAATGTGGGAGGAAGGGGAGAGCCATCAGGTACCCCAAGCAGTCGGCCGGAAGCCCTCCGTGGCCCCCAGGGGTACAGCTAACCCCATTCAGGCACGTCCACGCATTGGGTGACACTGCTGTGAAACTCTCCCCTCTGAAACCCCCAGGCACTGAGAAGCTGAGATGGCACCGAGAGATGGGTAGCCAGGTGCCGCCTGTCCCCTGCAGGCTGAGCAGGCAGGCTGCGGGGGCGGCAGGGGCCCGCCAGGCTCGGAGCCGGAGGCCTGCGCTCCGAGGGGCAGTGGGAGCCAGGAGGAAGGGCCGCGGGGGCCTGGGCCCCTGGCCTGGGGCCGGCTGGGAGGCAGCCGCAGAGCCGGTGCCCGGGGCCACGCTGTCCTGGGGCTGAGAGCAGGCCCTGGAGAAACTCGTTCAGGCGTGCCCGCCGGCCTGGGCCCCGACCACAGCCCCGCCCCTCGTCGCACAGGAGCGGAGGGACCAGGAACCAGACGGGGCTACCTTCCATCTGCAGCCGGTACAGCATGGAGCAGCTGTCCACCACGTCCAGCATCGCCCCGCTGGCCTGCAGGCTGGGCAGGATCTGGAAGACAAGGGCGGGTGGGGGTGAGGGGCTGCAGGGACCGCCCGAGTCCGCCTGTCGGGGCCAGGCCCTCAGCCCACGGAAGCCGCCGCCAGTGTCCCCTCCACCCTACCCCTCAGGGCCGTTCGGCTCTCAGGGCCTGGGCCGCTCTGGGTGCCCAAGGGGCACTGGACAGACTTGGGAAAGAGCCCAGCGCACTGGCACCTGGGGGAGTGTGCGTCGGGCCCTGGCCCACCGGTCACCTCGTGTCCCCTCCTGGCCCGATAATGACTCCACCTTCAGCAGGTCTGCACCCCACGGCACAAGCTCTTGTCACCCTTCATAGGATGAAACTTATATAGGGTTTCCTCTTGCAAGAAGCCCTGCTGAGTGTCCTTCTCCGGGGTTCAGATCCTCAGATCGCCAGCATGTTTGTGCCCCCGGGCTCTGTTCTTAAGCCCATAGTGGGGTGCCCAGAAGCTGTGAGTTAGGCTTTTTGTTTTTTTTTTTCTTTTAAACACACATCTTTGACTCAAAAGTTAAGAGTCTGCCTCCTAATGCAGGAGACTTGGATTCAATCCTTGGGTCAGGAAGAACCCCTGGAGAAGACAATGGCAACCCACTCCAGTATTCTTGCCTGGAGAATTCCATGGACAGAGAAGCCTGGTGGCCTACAGACATGCCTCAAAGACTCAGACATGACTGAGTGACAAATACTTTCACTTTCAAACATGTACATAGGGCCTGGAGAGGGGGGAATAGTTAGGGTTTAGTAGGTGGGGATTCTGTTTGGGAAGATGAAAAAGTTGCAGGAATGGATGGTGGTGAAGGCTGCATTGCAATATGAATGTACTGAACGCCACAGAGCTGTACATGTAAACTGGTTACCATGGCAACTGCACATTTAAACTGGTTGCCATGGTAACCACACACACAAACTGGTTGCCGTGGTAACCACACACTTAAACTGGTTACGGTGGTAAAATACAGTAGGTATGCTTTATCTAAGCTCAACTGTGTCCGACTCTTTGCAACCCACCAGGCTCCCCTGTCCATGGGATTCTCCAGGCAAGAATGCTAGAGTGGGTTGCCATTTCCTTCTCCAGGGAATCTTCCCGACCCAAAGATTGAACCTGAGTGTCCTGCACTGGCAGGCAGATTCTTTATCACTAGCACCACCTGGGAAGCCCCAGTGTATATTTTACTACAATAAAGAAAAAAAAAAAATTCCCGGCAGTTCCCTAATGGTCTAGCGGTTAGGATTCAGCGCTTGCACTGCCACGGCCCGCGTTCAGTCCTGGTCAGAGAACTGAGATCCCAGAAGCCACGCAGCACAGCCAAAACATTTCAGGCGGAACAATGTTCTCACCAAATAAAGGCAATCTAAATGACTAGAAGGAAGCCTGAGATCTCATAGATGACCATCTGATATGTGCATCTTCCAATGCCCACAGAGGGGTGTGTGTGTGTGTGTGTGTGTGTGTGTGTGTGTGTGTGTATGTGTGTGTATATGTGTATGCACACGCAAATTCAATCATGTTTGACTCTTTGCAACCCACTGGACTGTAGCCCGCCAGGCTCCTCTGTCCATGAAATTTTCTAGGCAAGAATACTGGAGTGGGTTGCCATTTCCTCCTCCAGGGGATCTTCCCGACCCAGGGATTGAACCCACATCTCTTGCATCTCCTGCATTGGCAGATGGATTCTTTACCACCGAGTCACCTGGGAAAGCAATCTCCCAACACCCACAGGCGAGCAGAGTCAAACCCCGTTCTGGGTTTCAACACTGCCCTTGGAGAGAATCAATGCCGTGAGGTCTTACACAAGAGCTGTGGGTCTGTCTGGGGCAACACGGACCCGCTCAGGAAGCTAGTCGAGACTGAAGGGAAATCGACACAATAAACTGAATCGAGTGCAAGCGTGGACTTACGTGGTCATCGTAAATGGTCAGCGCAGCCTCGTATTCGCCCTGGAAAAACGAAGTTCCGGGATTAACACAGGGAGAAGGTGAAATGCGATGCTGAGACATGAACTGAAAAACGCCTCGACAAAGGCCCCAACCTGCCTGCCCACAGCTTGGTGGGTCTTGGGATGGGCAGAGAGGAACCCCTGCCCCCAGCCCTTCTTTGCCCAGGTAGGGGACACAGCAGCAGCTGCTGCTAGGGGAGCCTTTTCCGCAAAAGCATTGCTTTTCCCATGGAGCACTTGTCCAGCAGCTGTGAGCTCTTTCATCTGTTTCCTCCAGGACTGTTTCTTCCTCTCTGTCGTTTCCTCATGGCCCATTCAGCTGGGTTCACTGCTTTCTTGAAGATACTGTGTTATTGCATTCTGCCTATCCTTACAGGGCCCTTACCTTCCAAGCATTTCTCTTTGGACCTTTAGGGAACTTCTAGATTTTCTCTACGACTAGCTGCAAGAAGAGCCCTTATGAATGGGACCCAGTGGTGGGATCGCTGGGGTCAAGCATGACCCCACACCCGCGCCCCCACTGGGGTGAAACACTGTGAGGGTCCCGTGGCTCATTCAGGCACAACCGTGGGGTGTGGGCCTGGCAGTTCACTCCAGGGGCAGAGACACTGGGTCTACATTGTCTCCACAAATGGCACACGTGTGTACAGGATTTCTGAGTCCAGGACAGTGGGAAATACCTAAAGGAGTTCAAACCTGAAAAGCTGTTTGAAAACCTGAGTGCCCTACTGCATCAGAACACCGCTGCAATGCACAAACACACAGCACTGCTCCACAGGATATAAAGTACAGCAAAAGGCAGAAAAACATTTCTTTCCTTGGAGGGTAAGACCTTACAAAGATGTAAGACTCTACATCTTTGTAGGTTAAGACGGCTGGTCATCTTACCTTTTCGATCAGATATAAGGCCCAATGCCAATAATTATGACAAGCAAGCATGTCAGAGGCCTGGGGAAAGAACAAGAACATGAGAAGAATCTGACAGCCCGGCTGGGCGGTTGGGGTGGGTACCGGGGGGGTAAGCAGCTGCTGTCTGTGTCAACGCAGAACCCCACAGCTTTGGGTGCGGGAAACACTTCCCAGCCCCTGCCTCGGCTGCCCTGGCCAGCAAGTCCACGCCTGTCCATTCCTTTGGCCCTGAGCCTCGGCAAGCGGTGGGCCTGAATTTACCTAGGGCGCTGAGGCTACGGCAGGCTGGCATCTTAGCCCCAGGATGAGGAGGCAGGAGAACCAGAGCCACCCAGAGGGGGCCACTTGGCACCCCAAGCCTCGCCTTCCTTAGGTGTGGTGTGGAGAAAACGAGGAAGCCCATCCAAACACCTGCAGGGGCCGACTGCGCCCAACAGTACAGGACGTCCCCATAAAACCCGACGGCCGCTGCGCCTGGGGCCGAACCTGCGCACAGCCCACAGGATAAAGGGGCAGGGGTGACACCCGGACGGCTGCAGCTGCTCTGCTTTGGGCCCCGCCACGAATGCCAGCCTACGTGGCTGCGGCAGACACTCCCTTCTCTGCTTGGACACCACCTCCCACGTCCTGGGAGGCAGCTGACGCCGCCTCCTCCATGACCCACGTCTACACCTATGTCTGAGGATTCAACCCTCCCAGCTCCCCTCCCTCACAGACCACTGCGCGCTTCTGTTCACAGTGATCCTACACCTCCCTGTTGGTTGTCTACAAACCCCTACTCACCCTTCGACATTCATCTCATAGGCTGCCTCCACCAGGAAGCCTTCTCTGACTGCTCCCCCCTCAAGCCCAATTGGGTAGGATGCTTCCTCCAGGTTTCCATACCCGCAAGAGTGCCCCAGCCGTGCTATGGTCATGCTGGGAGCTGCTGGCTCCACTTGACAGGCCTTTTGTAGACAGAGCAGCCTGTGCAGGACCCTCAGTGGGGTCCCCGGGATGAGGTAAAGCCCGGGACACTGACTAGAGCCTGAAGAACTGAGCCTGGCGCCGGCAGCCAAGGGCCAGGGGCAGGCGCCGGAGGACGGAAAGGGGAGCCGCGGGCCCCGCCGTCTGTCCCTGGGCTGGGCCGGGCCGCCGGGATGGAGGCCGCCAGGAGCCTCCGCAGGGGCCGTGCACAGGCGTCGGGGCCCAGTGCCTGCCAGGAGATGAGCCCAGCCATCACTGGCTGCCTCGTGTTACAGAGTCAGACCAACGTCCAAGGGCGCTCCTGTGGGGCCAGGGGTCTCATGGCGGTGGCAACAGCAGGTTTTTCAGATGAGGAAACTGAGGCTCAGAGGAATCGGGCTCTTGCCCTGAGGGAGAGGGCAGGCCTCAAGCACCCAGGCCCAGGAAATCCAGAGTCTGGGGCAGGAAGTAAATGGAATGAATACAAATGACCCGGCCCTGGCCAAGCCTCCCCGGCCTCTGCCTCGAAGGGCACGGCCGCCCAGGCGCTGCCTCCATGCAGTGTCAGTACCTGCAGGGGGTGCCTGAGGACAGGGGCCCGACCCACACTGCACCCCCGACTCCCCACCCAGGGCTGACTTCAGGCCCAGGATCTAGGGACCCTTACAAAGACGTGAGTCTGAACCTAATGCCGTCACAGTTCTCCAAGTTTACCTTGCACCTGCTCGCCTGCTCTACCTAATAGCCCTCCTGGAGAGGCCGGGACGCTGCCTTGTCAATGACTCCTCACTGGCCTTCCTGGGCCACGCCGAGGTCATCGCGCCAGCCCCTGCTCCCTGCCTGGGTCCTGGTCTCGCCTTCGTTTGCTCAGCCGCTGACCATCGGCTGCTGGGTGCCCACTGTGGCCCAGAGAAGGGCAGGGCAGCAGACCACCCCTAGACAGGCAGCCCGGGTGGGTGCCAGGGACAAACCCGAGGACAACAGGCACATGTGAGGAGACAGGGCCACCGCAGCTGGGTGCAGGCGGGCACAGTGAGGCCCCAGGAAAGGGCCGCCTGGCAGGGCTTGAGGGGTCTGGAAGGCATGGGTGCCACTGCCCCACCAGGGACCTGACCCCCGCATGCCAGCCCTGCAGACGGTCGCCGGGCCCTCATCCACCCCACTGGCCCCTGGCTGCACCAGCTGCTCCCTGCGGACACTCTGCGGTGCTGCGGTCCGTGTCCAGCCCTCTAGCCAGTGGCGGAGGCGGCAGCTCAGAGCCTTCGAGGTTCTCAGCAGTGCCAGGCTCTTGTTTGTTGCCATTGTTTAGTCGCTCAGTTGTGTTTGACACTTTACCACCCCGTGGACTGTAGCCCGCCGGGTCCTCTGTCCATGGGGTTCTCTAGGCAAGAATATAGCAGTGGGTTGCCATTTCCTCCTCCAGGTGGGGATCTTCCTGACCCAGGGGTTGAACCTGAGACTCCTGCATTGCAGGAGTCTTTACTGCTGAGCCACCTGGGAAGCCTGGGTTCTTGTTCACCCAGTAATTTTTCTCATCCATTCCTTCTACAGCCAAATGCCTCAGGCCACGACCAATTCTAGAATTACCTGCAAAACGCCAGCAGGTGTTGGGGAGCCGTGTGGCTCCCGGGGGACCCGGTGGTTTGATAGAAATGCTTCCAAGCGGAACATAAGTTTTCCCAGAACTAAGCTGCACCTGGTAACCCTATCTGTTAATCCTCAGCTTAACTTAGGAGGACAGATGGAATTTTCCAGGCAGGTGGATGGACGAGCACCATACCTTCCAGTGGGCTTCCGAGTGCTGCATGAACTCCAGGCCTTCCCGGACCTCCGCTTTCATCTCATGAATATGTGCAATGGTGTGCACCGACCACGCATCAGTCGGGTTAATGGACAAAGCCTACGTGGGCAGGGGGAGGGGAGGACAAATCAAGATGATGTGTCAGTCAGTCTGCCTGGTGACAAGGTGTCCCAGCTGCAGGGGCACCAGGGGCCTGGGCTCTGCCTCAAAGTAACGACCCCAGAGACCCGCCCGTGAATCAGAGACTGGATGCTGCCAATGAGGGTGTCACTGCCCACTTCACGGATGAGGAGACTAAGGCTCAGGGAGGCTGATGACTTGCCCAGAGCCGCGCAGTGGGCGGCAGTGGGGTCTTTCCAAAGCAGGGGCTTATTCGGCCCCTTTGCCCCCAGCCTCAGGTCCACAGCTGAGTCACGTGCAACGTGCCACCCAGCGTCCCCACCTTCCTCTCGGGGCTGTTGTGGAGGCCAGTGGACAGAGTGTGTATGGACTCTGGGGGTCTCAGCTGCCCCTCCCGACTAGCACACACACACGTGTGACTCTCCAGGCTTGTTCTGATGCTCCCACGAGTAATGACGACAGCCGCCCACAGGGCTGGTGGACTGGCCAGTGACGACACGGCAGGGGGACGTGAGGGCGCTGAGCGCCTACCGAGACTGGCACGGGGCAGGAAGCCGAGCTTCACCGTGACCCTGGGGACCACCCACACGAGCCCGGGCCCCCCCAGCCCTGCTCCCTCGGTTCCCCCGTGCCTTCACCCCTGCCCCTGGCCCGGCCCCGGCCAGGCGGTCTGCGCCGCAGCGGGCAGTGTGCAGCCCCACTGCAAGGCCCGGCTGGTCCGCGTGGGGACAGAGAAGGGGCCCGCCTGCAGGGACGCCGGGGGCCTGGGGCAGAGCCCCACAGGACCAGGACGCTGCAGGAGACCCCAGGGGTGCAGCCGAGCAGGCCGGGCTCCGGGCCCTGTGAACAAGCCCACGAAGGGTGCAGCACGGGGCCGGGGCTCACGGCAGGTGCTGCTCTCACCCACTGTGGGGATCGTGGCCACCCTCCCCCGCTGACCTGCTTCCCCCCCCCCCCCAGTTTCCTGGGGCAGAGTCCACCTGGCCAGGGCGACCTGGCCCTGCTGTCCCCAAACTTTGCTCCCAGCACCCGCCCTGCCCGTCTCTGCCCTAAGCCTCGGTCTATCAGCGCTCCATCTATCAGCCAGTCCAGGCCTGCCACTCCCCTTCCCCACGGCCGCCCTTTGCTCTTTCTGCCCTGGGGGTTCAGCCTGCAGATGAGGCCCGGGTGTCACCATCATGAAGCCTCTCCTGATCCCAGAGGAGCCTGTGCATCCTACTCTCAGTTTCCCAGAAGCCTGGCCTTGCCCAGTAACTGTCTGTAGTGGACTGGTGCTGGGGTCAGAGTGTGGGCGCCTGCAGGAGACCAAGTGTGAAGGGAGAGAAGGGGTCCCCCCACATCACCCCTTCCTGCTCCTGGCGGTTGTGATTCTCGTCTCAGTCCCCCTCTGACTTCCTGAACCATCCTGCCACCCACAGGTGCCCACACAGATGGCGCCCAGCAGGACGGCCCAATGCCAAGGTGTCCAGGGGACCTTCCTGCATCTGGCCCCCAGGGTGGTGATGCCTGGTCCCCCAGCATGGAGCCAAGATTACAGTGAAGTCCCCTGTGTCCCCCCTCAAAGCCCTGACTCAGGACTGCATCACAGACCCTATCACCTCCTGTCAAGTCCCACCTCTACTTCTGTGAACCCAGAGCTCTGCAGAGACCCAAGTGCCCTGTGGCCCCAGGAGGGCAGCAATGCCCCCTGGGGAGGCGGAGGCTGCTGGGAGCCCTCCAGGGCAACGTCTGCGGGATGAGCCCTGCTGGGAGCTGGGGAGCAGGTCTGTCCAGGCAGCATGGACGGTGCTCAGGCAGCCTGGGGGAGCGTGGCGCTGCCTTCTGTGGGCTGGGCGGCCTTGGCCATGGCCTCCCGGAGCCCGGCTGCTCTCCTCTGACTGATGAAGGGGCTCAGTGCCTCATGGCACTGCATCTAGCAGATGGACCAGGCACGTCCAAGTGAGGGCCAACCCTGAGCCAGGCCCAGGAGCGGTTGTCACTCCCGGGTACATGGTGGTCCCTCCCTGGGCCTCAGTCTCTGCTCCTGGGAGGGGAGGCGCTGGAGGAGGGGCCTCTGAGTCAGAGAAGCCGAGGCCCTGGGGCCTGCAAGCCAGAATGTCCAGGGTGCGTCCAGGGTAGAGGCCAGCCAATGTGCCCCAGCACAGAGGGAGGGGCCAGGCCCGCGGGAAGCACTTAGCATCCCACCCGGCTCTGTGCCCGTGGCTGCGGCTGCCTCCGGTGGAGGCGGTACTCAAGACAAGGCCTGGCCAGCAGGCCCCAATGCAGGTCAGGGCCCGCCGGAAGCAGCCTGATGAGATAAAATTTATATTTTAAGGGAGGACCAGAAAAATGAAGCGTGAGATCCTCTCTGTGCCTGGTCCGGCCTCCTCCCTGGCTCCCTGACTGCAGGGCACACCTGCATCACACGTTAACCAGAGCTCCTCAAAGAAGGGAGTGCCTGCTCCGCCCTGGAGACGGAGTCTTCCCTCTCCTCGGATGCCAGCAGTCTAAGTTCTTCAGAGAACACTGCCCTTCCCAGCCCTGCAGTGGGGCATGGTGACTTGCTGCTCACTTTGTTCGTGTGTATCCAGACTGTGTGTCCTTGGTGACCTTCATGGAAAATATCAGGATGTCATTTTGATGTTCGGTCCTTTGTCTCACAAAAGTAGGTGACTGTACCTTCAAGTTCTAACTGGGAGAACAGTGCTCAGAACTGTCTGCTTCCTGGTTTACAATCCTCAGTTTGGCTTGAGTAAAATTCCCTTTCTTTCCTTGTTAACTTGATAGTTCAGTGGCGATAGTTTTTGGCGACAAGCCTCACTCAGCACGTAAGGGTCCTCTCCTGGAGGCTTGGTGCTGTTGCCGTCGCTTAGAAGCCTGCGGTTCCAGGTGGGAGAAGCAACGCTGACACCCATTTCCCACCTACACAGTTTGGGTCCAGAACACACACGTGGGGCCCTGGAGACACGGGCCTTCCCCTACCTGTGCAAGGTAGCTCTGCAGACCCGGGGGCACAGGTGACCGGAGGGAGCTGCCCTCTCTGTTAACACAGCCCTCCCAGCAGGAAACGGGGTGCAGAGTTGGGGGGCCGAGCCTGGCCTGCTCTGCGCCCCCTGACACCGCTCCCTCAGGGCTGCTGCAGCTGGGAAGGACCCACCTACCTCTTTGGCGAGCTTTTCCGCCCGATCATAGAGATTGGTTTCCATTAGTCCGAAAGAATAGATGCCTTTCACGTAGCTGGAAACAGAAACTGAGATGATTATTTTTTAAAAATGGATTGGGACCATTCCACCCGCGACATGGCCGGAGCAGGGTTGTGTCCCCCGCCAGACTGTATGTCTGGACACACGCCCTACGTGGAATTCGAATCTTTGCGGCTCATGATCAAGTTAAGATGAGGTCATCCTGGATGAGGGTGGGCCCTAAACCCAACGACTGGTGTCCTTATAAGCGAAAGGAGAGGGAGGCAGAACACACAGAGACACACACACAGACGACAGACAGTTACGTGGAGACGAAGGCAGAGACTAGAACAATTTCAGATTTGCCAGTCCCCACAGTCACTGGAGCCAATTCCGTAAAATAAATGCACCTCCCTCCCTCCTCTGCCCCGTCTCTCTCCCTGTGTGTGTGTAAATAACATAGATATAGAGATACATATCCTGGGTTTCCCTTGTGGCCCAGTGGTAAAGAATCTGCCTGCCAATGTAGGAGACTCGGGTTGGATCCCTGGGTTGGGAAGATCTCTTGGAGGAGGAAATGGCCATCCACTCTAGTATTCTTTCCTGGAGAATTCCATGGACAGAGGAGCCTGGCGGGCTAAGTCCATGGGGTTAGACACAAAACTTAGTGACCACATAATAAATACACATCCTATTGGTTTCTGTTTCCTGGAGAACCCTGACAACACAGCTCTTCAATCTATTAATCCACTTGCCCTTCACAACAATCCTATGATTAAGACGCAGTGGAGGTGACCCCGGGTGGCGGTCCCTAGGCCTGCTCACAGTTATTCCACGCCTCCCTCTCCTTCCAGCCCATGGTAGTGCTGCGCTTCCTGGCCTCCTGCGGTGGGGGGCAGGGGAGGGGGGTGACTGGATCTGGCCAGCGACTCAGAGCACTTCACTCTGAGCACTAATGCCATTGCGAGTCCCCCAGGAGAGGTCTCTTCCCTCTTAGCAGCTGGCGTGTCCAGAAAGTCGTGGCTTCACCAGCTGGGATCCCAGAGGGAGACAATGGCATGGGCCCAGAGCCTCCGCCCGCGTGTGATGGACACGTATTATGAGGGAGAAGCTCGCCTTTCTTGTAATAAGGAGTGGAGAAAAAGATCTAGAGGATGTTTGTTAGTGCAGCAAAACCTACCTTGTGCTGACTGATACATAATGGCATTACTTCATTCCCAGGATGGGATAAAGATCAAGTGAAGATGTGAAGCCTTTTCACTTTTTTTTTTTTCTGGCCAAGACCTGTGGCTTGCAGAACCTTAATTCCCTGACCAGGGTCGAACCCAGGCACAGAGACCTGACCCTGGACCACCAGGGAACTCCCACCTTTTCACTTCAGAGAAACAGGAAAGAGCAACAGCAGCCTCACGAGTTTCAGGTCAGGGCCTCTGCCATTCTTCAGGGCAGAGGAGAGGCTGAGACAGGAACGATGTGACTCCCAGCTGGCACTGACCTGCTCAGGGGGATGTCGGGCGTCCAGAAGGGATAAACTCGAGCCACGGAATCTCGCATCTGCTCCTGGTAGCCCAGGTAAAAGTAGGCATCGTGGGAAAACTTCAGGGCCAACATGTCTGTTGGGTGGTCCCGGAGAATCTGCTCCCACAGCTCACAGGCTTTCGGGAAGTTCCTGGAAGCCAAGAAAGGTGTCTCAGCAACCCCGAACCCAGTTCACACACGGCGAGTGGAAGGGGCTTCCCTTCCTGCCAGTGTCACGGCTTGCACTGAACTGGTTAAAATACACAGGCACATTTCTGTGTCAGGTTGTGGCTCAGAAAATGCAAAAGCCAGTGGGGTGTTTTACTTTCTAATTCAAGCAAAAAAAAAAAAACCAAAAAACTGGTTTCACAAGTTGCCAATTCACCTGAGACCATACACCAGCTGTGGGAAGCCTGAGAGGTGGAATTCCAACCCTGCGCTGACATTCACACTGACTCCCCAGGAAGACAGTGAAGGACAGGGAAGCCTGGTGTGCTGCAGTCCGTGGGGTCACGGAGAGTCAGACACAACTTAGCGACTGGACAACAGCAACGACACCAGGGAGAGCGGGACAGAGCTCTGTCACGGCTTCAGAACTCGGTCACCCAGGTCTACGGGCATCTCCCCTGCACGAGCAGACACACGGGGTGTCCTGGGGCCACAGGACACACAGGGGACAGAGTGGGAGCCAGAGGGGCAGGGAGCAATGGGCAGAGGCTCACCTGGTGTGTTAGGACCAGGAGTCTAAGGGCAAGGATCTTCCTTTCTCTTTTATCTATTTCTTTACTGTGATCCTATTATTTTTGATGTTGTCATCCAGTCACTAAGTTGTGTCTGACTCTTTGTGACCCCGTGGACTGTGGCAATTATTTTTGTAAGGAAAATAATAACCAACTTATTCAATGAAACCAAATAAGCTGCTTCGAATGTCAGACTAGGAATCTGAACCAACCGTGTCCTCAGGCATGAGAGGCAGGGTGGGCATCACCCCCCAGCCCCTTCTGCACAGTGCTGGGGCAGCCCGTGGCATTGGCCAGCGAGCGTGGTCCTGGAGGCCAGCCCCTGGCCCAGGGAGGCCCCTCACCCCTTGGCAAAGGTCTCTACTGCAGACACGTGCAGCTGCTCCCGATGGGTCAGGGGCTGGGTTTTGGAAATCTCCACCATCGTCTTCACGGCCACATCCAGCTCTTTGTCCAGCCTCACGGAGCTTCCGGTGCCAATCAGCACGAGGCCATTAGCGATGGCGTGGCCCATGGCTGGCGAAAAGTAGGAAAAGAGCTGGTGATTCAGACGGTCCTGCCCAGCCCAGGCAGGCCCCGCAGGTGAAATAAACACCCCACGTCCTAAGAAGGGCAAGTCAGGAGGCCTTAGGCTGTGTCTCCACCAACAGTGCAGAGCTCAGATCCTCACCATGCGCGTGGAGGTGCGGCAATCCTAACACATCCTGCACCCCCCCCCTGCCGAGCACTTTTTCAGCCAGGACATTCCGGGGAGCAGCAGTGTGTGTGGCGCCTGTGCCCCGCTCACTGGATGGGCTGGTTAGGGGCTGCCTCAGGGCGCTTCGGAAGCCCCTCTGCCTCCCTCATCAGCTGCACCATCACTGCCAGCAGCACAGGGCCCCCCGGAGATGCTGTTGGGGGGCCGGCCCCCAGAGCACAGAAGCCATGGTCGTCTTGGCGGCCTTCCCGTGCTGAAAATGTGGTGGCTGGGAAAGGTCGGGCCGGGGGGGCTGCCTGCGGCCCTCTCAGCAGTCTAGCCCCCGGGTCCCACCTGGGAGTGCCAGCCCCTGTCCTGACAGAGGAAGGATGTCCACTGGTGTTTCAAACTCCGGTCCCTAGTCCGGGTCTGGGACCTAGGACCCAACCACAGTGCTAGGACCACATGTGGCCCCCGCGTCTGACCTGCGGGCCAGGGTCTGCTCAGAGAGCCTGAGCCCGTGCCCAGAGGCTAGCTCCCCTGACAGCTTCCTTCATCCCCTGTCTGTGCCCCTTGCCCTCAGTGGGACCTGGCCGTGGCTGGGGGCGGCAGTGGAGGGGGGAGTCCCTGCTGCCCTCCCCTCTCAGCCCTTCCCCCCAGCCCAGAGCCTTACCCAGGCTGGGGCTACCCTGCTGGGCTTCTGGAATGCACTGGCCAGACCCCCATGCCTGCCACACACATGGCTTGCCTGTGACCGCAGCCCCTGTCCCCAGGTTGGTCTCCCCTGCCCCAGCCTCTCTGGGGAGGGCCTCACTAGGAGGAGGCCTCACTAGTGTGCAGAAAGGCTGCAGTGGCCACTTCTTGTGTTTCTGGGGGGTCCAGGCTTTGGATTGAGACAGCCGTGTCTGATCCCAGATCCCCAGCTACCAGTTGGATAGCTTTGGGTGTATTTCTTACTCTGTCTGAACCTCAGTTTCCTCATCTGAGAAATGGGATCAGAGTCTTCTTTGCATAACTGATGTACAATTAAGGAAAATATTTGGAAGATACCTTCTATAGAAACTGGCATCTTTATGGGAGTAGCTGTTATTCCAAGCACAGTGGTGACTGTGATCTTCCCTTCCTCCCAACCTGGTCACTACCACAGGCCTGCCCTCTGCGGCTCAGCTGAGGTCTGTACTCAGAGAACCAGTAAGGGGCTGGACTCATGAAACACGGCCCTCAACCCAGGGGAAGCATCACTCACCGAAGGTCGGATCTGCCGCTTTGAGCTTTGACAGGCAGCTCTCAATGCCACCAAGGCCCTGGTCGTTGGTCCATTTTACGTACTGAAATTTAAAAGGGGAAACAAAGCTGTCCCCAGGGAGCTTTTAGTTCATGTAAATGAAGGTGTGTATCTAAACCTTTTTTTTTTTTCTTTCTAGAACACTGAGTATTTTCTGGACCTCAGCTCAAAGAAAATATAACTGGGGTGCATCTCAGATGAAGAGACTTAATACATATAACTCAAAGCACATTTTCAAGGGCTAGTGAGGCCTCTGCGTCCAAAAAAGATACATCTAAAGGAAAGGCCTTCCTGACAGGCGACCTGCCCATAGTGTCAGCCTCGTCAGCCTCAAGAGGGCACTAGACATTTGGGTACTTCCATTTATTCTTTTAAAAAAAGAACCATAGTAAACATTCATTATAGAAAGTTAGGAAGGGCTTCCCAGGTGGCTCAGGGGTAAAGAATCCTCCTGCTGGTGCAGGGGACACGGGTTTGATCCCTGGTCCACAGTCCACAGACCGTGAAGCAACTAAGCCCGTGTGCCACGATCATCGAGCCTGTGCTCTATGCTCTAGAGGCCACGCTCTGCAACAAAAGGAGCCACTGCAATGAGAAGTCCCCGCTAGCTGCAACTAGAGAAAAGTCTGAGCAGCAGTGTAGACCCAGTGCAGCCAAAAATACATTTTAAAATATATTAAAAGAGAAAACAGGAAGTGGCGCACAAGCTGGAAGATCAAACTTGTCCTAATTTCCTTGGTGGCTCAACTGGTAAAGTGTCCACCTGTGATGCAGGAGACCCCGGTTCAATTCCTGGGTCAGGAAGATCCACTGGAGAAGGGATAGGCTACCCACTCCAGTATTCTTGGGCTTCCCTTGTGTGGCTCAGCTGGTAAAGAATCCACCTGCAATCTGGGAGACCCGAGCTTGATCCCTGGGTTGGGAAGATCCCTGGGAGAAGGGAAAGGCTACTCATGCCAGTATTCTGGCCTGGAGAATTCCATGGACTCATATAGTCCATGGGGTCTCAAAGAGAGTTGGACACGACTGAGCAACTTTCACTTTCACTTTCATCCTAATTTCATCTCATCAGCGCTCTTGACAGTTTGTTTCCAGTCTGTCTGTTTTAATGCCTACTTACTGATTTGGCTGCACTGGGTCTTAGCTGTGGCACTCGAGATCCCCGATCTTTCTTACGGCAACGGGAACTTTTAGTTGCAGCACTGGAGCTCAGTGGCAGCAGGTAGGATCCTTGACCAGGGATGGAACCCGGCCTAGCAGTGGGAGTATGAAGCTGCAGCCACCAGACCAGCAGGAAAAATCCCTTAATGCCTAGTTTTTAAAACTCTGTCGGACATTCCTGGCGGTTCAGGGGTTGAGATTCTGTGCGCTTCCAATGCAGGGGCTGCATTTCCAGTTCCATCCTGGCTAGGGGAGCTAGGATCCCACGTGTCGGGTGGCCCAAAGCCCAAAACATAAAACAGAAACGATACTGTAACAAATTCAATAAAGACTTTAGAAAAGATCCACATCAAAAAAAGAAATCTTAAAAAAAAAATCCTAAAACCATAATAATGCATTAGATTTTAGAATGTGCTCTGTCAGATATCCAACCTCCATCTATACAGAATTAGCACGTGGCATTTTAACAAGACTTGAGGTAGTGGGCACAGAGACAAGGACTCATGGGAGAGCACACACACTGGCAGGGTTTGGAGCGTGGGGCTGCGCTGGGGAATGTCTCCTGTAATAAATCACGCTCTGCAAAAGCCAAAAGGGGAAGGGGACAGACAGGCAAAGAGCTCAGATGCACACAGTGGAGGCCCTGGGCAAGCCGACGGCACGTCACCCTTGTCTCTTGGATGGCCCTCATGTTGCTAGCAGCTTCCTTGGTCCTTATGCTACATGGATGGAATCAGTAGGTAGTGGCCTTACTGCTCTTGGAAGAGCCCCGCCCTAGTTTTCCATCAAGGTGTGTAGACCCAGGTGCCTCCTGCCCCTCTTAACTCGCTGCAAGAGTCAGCCCCACGCTCCAGGCCTCAGCTCCCCTACCTGTCAACCAAAGTATTTGGACCTTACCTCTGTGACGCTCCTAGTTCTAAGACTATAGGCTCCTTCACTGCAGTTAGAAATGACTGGTGATACGGTGGAAGGTCTTAGAACAGCCACAGGTGGAGCAGTATATTCACAGATTAGACCCAGAAGGTGGGGGGGTGGGCTTATGTCCTAAATGGAGGAGATCCACACCAAAAACCCCAGCACCCTCACAGACCAATGCCCGATGCCTGGAGGACCTCCCAGCTATGTCATGGGGCAGGCGGAACTGTTCCCCATCCTGAGGATACAGAGGACATGGATTCTATTGCACTGGATTGCTCAAGTCTGCATGCAGCTTAAAAAGCATTCATGGCTTTCTGAGCCACTGACTGTGGGACTTGGGAGCAGCCTGAGCCATTGGTCCTGTGCAAGGATGCTTCAAGGCATCATGAAGGTCCCCAGGAAGTCTTTCTATACTCGAGTTTACCAGGGTACAATAATTCTGGGTACAAGTGGGGTTAACGGGCTACAATGTTTATAAAATCAGGATAAAGTGGGAAAGCTTTGAATGCTTCTAGTGCTGTGCCTGTATGCGGTCACCACTGACCAGCTCAACTTGGACAGCACATGGCACTTGGCAATTTGGCTGTAACCTTCAGCAAGCTATGCGGATGGAAGCTAGAGATCACTGGGCCCGTGTGGAAGCACCATGTCCTCGTGGCACAAATAAATGCAGCCGTCAGACACACCAAACATTTATCTCATGAACACAAAAACCATTCACTAATTTAAGAAACCTCCTCTTGGATCTTTACAGACAGAACTGCCGCTTCCCTCTGCAAACGCACCTGGGTCAGGGTGGCGTCAAACAGCCTGCAGGCCTCATTGCTTGGTGTTGAGAGTGGCAGCCGGGCATCCTTCCACGCCTGCACACAGCAAGAAGCGGTCTTATTCCTTGTAGCCTTCCCAAGGAGCACGCGCGAGCCTCCACCCCCAAACCCGGAAGAAGCTGATGCCTGTACTCTGCAGGTAAGGGCGTGGAAAAGCCCCATCCTTGTGGGGCAGGTGCGGACTCCCAGATTTCATAGATGGTGCAGTTCAAAGAGAGTTGGATCCTGGGTGGGGCTATCCCTAAGTAAACACCAGGGACTTCTGAGCAGCCAACTGCCCTCAGGCAAGCTCCTCCCTCCCTCTGAGCTTTGTCTGGCCCTTCTGTGAAATGGGGCTCTGGAGGATACCTGGGTGACTGGGACGTGTCCCCCAGGGATCCCACGCTCAGCAAAGGTGAGGCGGTCACCAGGCTGCAGCAGGGTATGCCAGGACAAAGGAGGGGCTAGAGTTGGAGTCCAAAACCAGGTGGGTGGTCCTTTTCCCTGGCTGGCAGGGTGCCAACCACCGAAGGGATTCCTCTCATCCCAATTTTCAGTCACGCGATCAGACATTAGGGAACACCTCCAGCCCTCAGAATTGCGCACGGTAGTGGTGGCCCAGGCATCCTGCGGGGGCACAGGCCACTCTTCCTACTCCCGGAGCCCAGCCGGCGGCCCCTCCAGGTACCAGTGGGGGCAGGTCCCCTCACTCCTCCTCCTCGGGTCCCAGCGAGACCCAGACGACGCCCTCCAATGCCCGGCCTCCTCGCCGTGCGACTACGGGGTTGCTGGGCTACGCAACCCCGAGGATTAAGAGGATCTGAGGTCTCCGAGGGGCCGGGCCTCCTGCCACAGATCTCTCGGTGGTGGGGCGCACTGGAGTATCCTCTGGTGCCTTCCATGCGCCCGGGACGCCCGCGGGGCTGTCGGGGGGCCGTGTCACCACCGCACCCCGGGAAGCTCTAGTCCTACCAGCTCACATGTCGCGGGGCCACCCCGGGGATGCGGGGCCGCGGGCGCTCTGCCGAGGGCGGCCCCCGAGTACCTGACAGTCGCGAAGCGGCGTGGTGGCGGCCATGGTGCGGGTTTCGCGGCCGCCCTGCTGCCTCCGCGACCTTCGGCGTCCGGGCGGGGTGTGGAGCCTCCGGGGCGCGGCTGGGGGCGGGACGGGGAGGTCCCCGCCCACTACTTGCTTTCGACACCTTCCGGTAACCCCGGAGGGTTACCTTCCCCAACCTGGCAGCTTTGGTGTGAGCCCCCACCTACCCGATCAGACAGGAGCCAGGGGCGGCAGGGGCGGAGGCCGGGCGTGGGAGAGCGGGTGGGATGAGGGAGTCCCTTTCCATGGGGACCCCCTGAGAGGAGACTGCAGGGGCCCCTGGGAGGCAGAGGAGCCCTGGGGCAGCGGTCCCTCTGAACAACAAGTGGGACCAGGGGCCGCGCTGTAAGGGCCCTGACCCGGATGCCTCTGTCCTGGGTGTGGCCCGGACAGTTGCACGGGGCCTCACACTTAGGACCCCATGCTCGCTTTAAAGCTCTGCTGTGGTCATCTTGAAATTCTTGACCATCTTTGAACAAGGTTCCTACATTTTGATTTTGCACAGGGCCCTGAAAATCATGTAGTCGGTCCTCTGACAGCCAATGCATTAGCACGTGCATCTTTTCTGAATTCCCCACAGCTCACCACCTCCACGGCCACTAACCCCAAACTGAGTCAGGGCCAGCTCACTCACATGCCGAGCGTTCTTGCAGCAGGCAGGCCTGTGCCTTTGGTTTTCCTGGACCCTGCCTAAGAGGCCCCTGTCCTTTCAATCCTGTCCACCTACAGTCTAGCTGCCTCACAGCAGGAGGATGCTTTCAACCTGGAAATCAGATCAGGCCCTTCCCTGCTCAAAACCCTCAAACACTTCCCAACCCACTTGAGATAAAATTCAAATACACGACCATGGTCTCTGAGGCCCAGCTTGACTGGTCACTGGCCATCTCTCCAATGACATCATCTACCACTTCCTCTCCTCTCTGCTCACTCGAGCCCCACTACTAACCTTCTCTCTCTTTCCTGCCTCCCTGCATTTGTACTTACAGTTCCCTGTCCTAGTTACGCCCTTCCCTAGCTCTTTGTGAGGCATGCTCCCTCATTTCATGCTATCTGTTGGCTTAGAGAGCACCTCCTCGAAGAGGCCTTCCTTGATTCACTGTCATTCATATCTCTACCTGCCTCATTTGTCTTCATATCACATTTCACAGTTATCATACTCAAAATCCTTCACGCTTAGGTTAGTTTTGATTGTCGCTCAACCTGTTATGGGAAGCACACTGATTGAAACCGCCCACCCTGGTCAGGCACCACAGTAACCATTTGCATGAGTTGTTTTATGACAGGAGGTCCTGGTAAGGAACAGGGAACTAATAAGCCTCCAGCAACCAGAGAGTTCGGGAAAGGTCAAAAGGAGACACCACCTGCCCAACCACCTCCCAGAATCCTTCTCTCTGGCATCCATCTTGGCTGAACAAAGCGTGCACCACCAGGAAGGACCCTGACTCAGAATGATTGGCTAAGGACAACCCGGAAATTAATCCCATCACCATAAAACTCGAGACTGTGAGCCATGTGACAGAGCCACTCTCCTGGGTTCCCTTACCCTCCTGCCCTCCACCCGGGTGCCCTTTACCAATAAAATCTCTTGCTTTGTCAGTGCATGTGTCTCCTTGGGGCAATTCATTTCTGAGTGTTAGACAAGAGCCCAGTTTCGGGCCCTGGAAGGGGTCCCCCTTCCTGCAATAAAGCCCTTTATAATGAAAGCTCCATGGGAACTAGGCCTAGGACTAATGCCTAGAAAAATGCCTGGTGTATAGTAGGTGCTTAAAAGCTGTCTCAAATGACCAATGTTAAATGAATTAATGGGGAACAAAAAGGAAAACAATCAGACATAGAAATGGATAATCGGAGAAAATAAGAAAACAAATAATTTAAGTGACAGATCTAATCCAAACATATCAATAATTAGATGAGATGCTGAGCGTACTTACATTAAATGCTGATGGCCATTTCTTGTTGTGCAGTCACTAAGTCCTGTCTGATTCTTTGCCACCCTATAGACTGAACCTCGCGAGGTTTCTCTGTCATTCACTGTCTCTCAGAGCTTGCTCAAACTCATGTCCATTGAGTCGGTGATACTATCTAACATCTCATCCTCTGCTCTCCCTTTTCCATTTGTTTTCAATCTTTCCCAGCATCGGGGTCTTTACCAAGGAGCTGGCTCTTTCCATCAGATGACCAAATATTGGAGCTTCAGCATTAGTCCTTCCAATGAATATTCATGGTTGATGGTCTAGATAACTCAATTAAAAGGAACAGATCGACTGAGTGGATAAAACTGTAAAACTCTATTAAATGTTGCTTGTAAAAGAACACTATTAAAAAAAGACATAAATAATTTGAAAGCAAATAAAAAAATACATGCCATCTAGAAAATAAGCATGAGAAGGCAAGTGTGGTCATCTTATTTGACTTCATCCCCACCACCACCACGCCCCGCGCTGTTTTATTGAGATATAATTGATGAATAATGTGGTTATTCTCATATCAGGTAAAGGAGACTTCAAAACAAAGATTCTGACCAGAGATAAAGACATTTCATAATGATAATAGGGACAGTTCAGCAGGAAGACATAATGGTAATTGTGTATCTACCTAATAAATACAGCTCCAAAATATAGGAAATGCAAGTTAACAGAATTAAAGAATGAAATACACAATATCACAGTTGCAGTAGGATATTATCATCTTCTCTCAGCAATTGCTAGACCTAGAAAACACTGCAGACGATACATAGATCTAAGGAACAGCACCACCCTTCTTGACTTGACTGCCAAACAGGACAGTACACCCTACAACAGTAGACACATTCTATTCAGGTGACATGGGACACACAGATGGACCTAAGACACACCACACGGTGGACTCACACAAGTCTCAACTCGTTCGAAAAGGTAAAGGATCTCACACAATATACTGTGACCATAACAAAACTGAATTACAAATCAATAACTGTGGGGAGTTTTACAGAAACTCTAAATCTGTAAGTGAAAGTGTAAGCTGAATTCACAGGTCAGACCCAAAGAGAGGAAACTGATTTCCTGGGCCGCAGGAAGCCCACTGACCACGCTGACCCAGGCCGCCGTGGCCCCCGCGCCCCACGCCCGCCGTGACCCCGGCCCGCGCCGCGGCCGCCCCGCGCCGCACACGCCTTGTCCGTTGGCCCTCCGCCCCGCGCCTCCGACGCAGCTCGCACCGGGCGCTGCCATGGGGCCCGGGCCGGCGCTCCTGCTCCTGGGCCTGGGACTGGGCCTGGGCTGTGGGCCTGGCCGCCAGCCTCCGCCCCCGGCTCCCCCGCAGGCGCCCGGCTGGCCTTCCCGAGACCTCCCCGTCCTGACGCCCGCCTCGGTCCGGGGTTCCCCGTCCGAGACCCGGGCCCTCGTCCAGGCGCGGTGCCCGGAGGCCGCGCTCCGCTCGGCGAGGGCGTCCCTGGATCCCGGGGAGCGGGGCGCAGGCTGTGGCGGCCTTGGAGTCGGCCGCGCCCGCGTCAGCCTCCGGGCCCGCGCGGCCCCAGGCGGCGGCATCTTCCTGAGCGGCCGCCGCGGCCTCTGCCTGCCGGCCGGGCGTCCCGCGGGCCTGGCGCCGCGCTGCCTCCGCGCACACGTCCAGCTGCGCGCCCGCCGCGCCGCCGCCGCCGCACCCGCGCCCGCGCAGGTGGACCTGCAGCTGTCCGCGCCCGGCGGCCGGCTCTCCCTGCGCTGGCTGTCCCGCCTGCCGCGCTCGCTCGGGCCTCTGGAGTGGACCTTCCGCCTCGGGCTGCTCGGGCCTGCGGCCGCCGAGCGCCACACGTTGCCCCGTCGGGCTCTGCACCGCGCCCGGCGCTCCTACCCGGGATTCGTGGCCCGAACCAAGTGTCCCACGGACGGACCCACCCCGGTCGTCTTAGAAGCTGTCAGCCCGAACAGCTCGGAACCCGCTGAGTCCTCGGTGTCCTGTCAGGTATCCCGACCGTCGCTCTGTAAATTGGACCCTGTGCGGATTCATAGGAACGACGATAAACCGGTCCGACTGACCAGGGACATGGGAGACACCTTCAATGCAACAGTCATCCTCTTCTGTCCACTCCAACAGTACTATGAGCGGATGTGGTATATCTTTCCCGTGCCCTATGTAGGAGCTGTGCCCGACTGGAGTAAACCTCTGACAAACCCACCGGTCAAGTTAGCTGGATTTTCAACAGTGTTGACTCTACCCCCATATTCTTTACCTTGGGGGGTGTATTTGTTTAATTTAACGGTGGTTGTCAGAACGCGGGATCCCCAGGTTCCAGGGCAGAACGACTCAGATAGCATCTATGTCGTCATTTATAGACGTCCCCTGAATGCTGTTATTTCAGGGCCTTCCAACATCACAGTTAATTTCACAGATGGGGTGACTCTCAATGGAAATATGTCTTCTGATCCAGAGGAAACAGACCCTCTAGAGAGAGAGAGACTTAAGTTTCTCTGGTACTGTACCACAGACTCAAGAGACTATGATGGAGAAAACATAACAGTGATAAGCAAGGAAGTTTGTCTCCCGGAGCAGGTTGATCTCAAGTGGACATTGGCCTCTGGTCTTATTCTGACACTTTCTCCAGGAACACTTCAAGGTGGCCGTGTATATTTTTTCAGACTGGTGATCCAGAAGACCGGCAGGTCAGCATTTGCTGATGCAACACTGCACGTGCTTCAGGGAGCCCCGGTAGCAAGCATCTCATGTATTGAGAACTGTGACCGGGTTTTGGTTTTATCAGAGAGGTTCTCGTTGTCTCTGGATTGCACAGGTTGTACACCAGGCCGAGATGTCTACTGGTGGTCCATTCTGACGTCTTCAGGTCAGGAGGTGCCATTTGACTGGCCGGGGCAAACGTCAACAGGACGGAATGGTGCTTACATGTCTATAAAACCTTTTGCTTTCTGGAATTTCAGGAAAGATAAGTTTTGGATTTCTTTAAATGCAGCAACTTGGAGTGGAGTCACCTTGGCCTTAAGGTATCC